TATAGACCATTTTGCAAGATGTAAACAACATGGTAGAAACACTTCCTGTTTCAGTTTGTAACTGTTTTCTTTATTTCTCATGGAAAGAAAAAATCTTAAAGATGTTTGTTTAACTTTTTGACTCAGTTTTATATGTTCTGTTGGTTGTATTATCCCAGCTTTTATGTAGTGTTAAAGAGGAAGTGCTTCTTGACCAGTTTTGTTTACATCTTGCAAAATGGTCTATAGACACGAGTTGTTCTTTTTGTGGTGCCTCTAATGAAACTGTTCTTTATATGTTCTGGGTATATCCTCACAAAGCTATTTTGGAACATTTTCTAATTTTATTAACCAGAATGTGCTTCCGGGTTTCTCTTTGTTGTAATGTTTTTTTTTTTTTAATATACAAAAATCTAAATTTAATGAATAATTTATAATTAATCTATTATTGCTCCTTGCAAAATTTCACATTTACCGCAGTAAATTCACTCATCAAAATCCCTTATTCATTGTTTTAACAAGAGCGGTTCAACAGTCCATTCAAACCATTTCATTATCTAAGAATCTTAGAACTCTTAAAAACTTGTTTCAACTTTTTAATTAATTTTTTTATTTTTTTATTTGACAGGGACAGCGCACAATTTAAAACAATTGCACCAGAGTTAGCTAATAGTTAATTTGTGTCTGTTGTCCCTGGGCAGGTAAACAAAACACAACAAAAGACACAAAGCAACCACTGAAACAACCAATGCACTACATAAATGTACAAATGACATTTTATCCATCAATTTAAAATTGATAAAAAAACATTTTGATAAATACACCAGATGCAATGCAATGCAATTAATGGTGACACTCTTGTGCTGATTTTAGATAAATGTTGAGGCTGGCTTTAAATACTGCAAAACTTCCTGAGTTTCTAATGTTGGTGGTGGGTATTGAATTCCTCTTCCCCACTACTTTGACGGAGTAGGCAGATTGACCAAAGGATGACTTTCTAAGAGGCGGCACCAAATCACCCCTAGTTGATGCTCTAGTTTTACTGGCACTGCCACAAAAAACTAAGCATCCTCTAAGAGGAGGGGGTGCAAGTTCATGAACAACTTTAAACATTAGGCATGTGTCTGAATAAAATAAAAAAAAATTAAAAACCGAGAAGATTATATTTTTTAAGAATATTACAATGATGGTAATCCTTATGTTTTTTGTCTAATACTTTTAAAATTTGTTTGTAAAGTGGGGAAAAATCATTGTGTGTACAAAAAGTTTTGCAGCAGACAATGACAAATGATGTCTGATACTCTTAAAGTTGTTCAAAATTAAATTTAACAGTCTTGATTACCATACTGACTTGTTTTTTAAAAGTCAGATTTGCACCAATTATAATGCCTAAATATTTAACATGCGTCACAGATGTAATAACTTCATCATTAATTAAAATATCAGGGTTAACTGAATTATTAATCCTGGCTGTAAAATACATACAATCATACATACTCAGTTTAGCTGCAACGTATTCTTTAGATCTTGCATGAGTAAAAATCACAACGTCATCAGCATACATTTGGATGTTAACATCCGGACATGCTTGAGGGAGATCATTTATATATATATATGTATATATACTGAATAAAAGAGGTCCTAAAATAGACCCTTGAGGCACCCCTGAAATACAGTTAGCAAATGAGGAACACTTATCACTCTTGTGCATTGTTTTCTGTTATTCAAATAGGATTCCATCCAGGTCATGATATAAGCAAATAAATTAAATTTAGAAAGTTTCGAGAGTAAAACGTTATGATTAACGGTATCAAATGCCTTCTTAAAATCTAAAAACACAGCTCCGACAACACCGCCTTTATCAAGTAGACTTTTGATTTGTTCCAAGAAAAAACAAATTGCTGTTTCTGTTGAGTGATGCTTTCGGAGGCCAAACTGCATCGGGTGCAAAGTAAATTCACCTTCATTTAGATGAGAGACTAGCTGGTCACAAACGACCCTTTCTGTAATTTTGGAAACTATTGGGAGTATACTAATGGGCATATTGTTGGATTTGTTTGTTCTATCACCGGATTTTAAGATAGGGGTCACTACTGCAGCCTTCCAGGATGAGGGAAAATAGGAGTGTGTTATTGACAAGTTTATCAGATGGGTTAAAGGCTTACATAGTATTAACTTGTAATTTTTTTAAAAATTTTTTGCATCAAAATCAAAAACATCCTTAGACTTGGACCCTTTTAAACAATCAAGTGTTTTCATCACTGTATTTTCCGAGACATTTTTGATTGTGAAAACAGGGAAGTCAGTATTTGCCAATTGAAGTACTCTTGGTCTTGGACCAAAATTCTTGACCAGACACTGTACTGAGTCTACAAAGACTGAATTAAAGATCGTAGCTATTTTTCCTTTGTCTTCTATTACTTTTGATTGTTCGTTTATTACCCAATTTTGAACAGATTTACACTCCTTCTTTGTAATTTTATTTACTATTACTATTACTACCAAATTAATTTACTATTTCCCTTGGAGTCATTGATTAATTTCATAAAGTAATCAGCTTTAGCCTGCCTCAATTCTTTTACTACTTTATTTCGCAATTCTTGGATTTTTCTCCTGTCATGTGGTAGTCCGGATTTAAGATTTCCGGACTTAGAATTTCATTAAAGTTTTTTGTTCTGTTTTTCTTATTTTACACAGCCTACATAATAGGCTATAATATGTGACCTATGTATAAATTATGCTTTGCTTTCATTGTTATTTAATTGTCATTTTTATATTTTTGATACCTTGGCATTAATAATAAATATATATAAAATAAAAAATAAAATAAAAAATCACCCTCTGTCAAGTTCTAGGTTATCACATGAGCGCCCTCTACTGCTCAACTGGCTGCTTCACTGAAACAGAAAAACTCCCCTGAGTAGAATTCAATTAAAACAGTAAATACAAAAAAAAAAAAAAAAAGAAACTAGTAACTACCTTACACATTGTGTATTGTACATAACATATAAAATTAGCAAAATGAAGATGGAATATGAGATGTTTCATGAGAAAAGAAATTACTTGCTTGAAGATTGTTGGTGATGGTTTGAGAAAATGTCTGGGTATAAGATATATATATATATATATATATATATATATAGCGAGAGAGAGAGAGAGAGAGAGAGAGAGAGAGAGAGAGAGAGAGAGAGAGAGAGAGAGAGAGAGAGAGAGAGAGAGAATCAAAAGAATGAACTAATATACATTTGCATAACTTTGAACATTTAATACCAGTGGTTTACCACTGGATTTTAAGAATGATACCCTGGCCAAACCCTTTTGAGGGTGCCTCAAATATTCAATTGTGTACTTACAGTACAATACCAGTCAAAAGTATGTATGTATATATATGTGCGTGTGTGTGTGTGTGTGCGGATGGAATCACACTGAGAGCAGCATGGTTGTTCACTCAAGAATACTCTTTACTGAGCCTGAGACAAACAACTAAAAACTGGTTAGTGGGCAGTGCATTCACGCATCAATGTTGCTCATAGATCAGCAGGAGAGATGTGAAACTGCTGGTACATTTTACAAAGTGATCATATAGTGGAATTAAATTCAAAATAAGACATACATTAAAGAAATGAAGTACAAATCACTGTCTCTGTTCTCATTTCTCATCAATTTACAATTGCAGACAGACAATAAATTTAAGCAACCATCATTTTCATATTTTTGGTATAAAATGGAATACAGAAAAGAACAGCCACCTAAAAAGGGCACCGTTACACAGTTCAGCATGTGTGTTAATGCAAACAATTAATTCAGAACATGACAAATTCGAATATAAAACATACCTGAGACAAACAACCAAAAACTGGTTAGTGGGCAGTGCATTCACGCATCAATGTTGCTCATAGATCTTAAATGGAATCAACAGAGAATCGGAGGTCACAAGCAGACACAGTCATCTTATTTCACCATTGCAAATAACAAATTTGACTCGACTGATAAAAACATGAAGTAAACTTGTGTGCAGTATTAAAGTCCAATAGTCCATCCTTGCACTTTAAAACATAAACTCCGTTTTTAATGACGCAGTGCTTTTTGATGCGACTTACCAGCAGGAGAGATGTGAAACTCTCCTGGTGGTGACGTAACTCCACAATCAAGCACGCAAATGCGAGTGACGCAACAGCCAATTGCAAGTTTGCCCATTTAAAGCATGAATTTATAAACATTATTTTAAACTCCGTTACATATATATATAAATACAGAAAAAAAGAGTAATATTGTGAAATATTACAATTTCAAATAATGCTTTCTATTGTAATATGCTTTAAAATATAATTTATTTCTGTAATGAAAAGCTGAATTTTCATCATCCATTACTCCAGTCTTCAGCGTCACATGATCCTTCAGAAATCATTTTGCTGATGCCCAGTTATCATCGATGTTGGAAACACTTGTGCTCATATGCGGTTTAATATCTTTTGGAACCTGTAATACTTTTTTCAGGATTCATTGATGAATAAAAAGTTGAAAATAATTGTATTTATTCAAAATAGAAATATTTTCTAACAATATTATCTTATATTTTTACGATCACTTTTTTTTATCAATTTAAAATCCTTGCTATTAATTTCTTTCTTTTTTTTAACTTTTAATATCCTACATAAAAAGATGGTATAAAGAACTTACCACAGTTCGTTTCTATGATTTTCACTTGTGCTCTGGGACATTGTCGTGCTGGAACAGAACATTTGAAATAGAAAATCATCTTTTAAATGTTGTAACAAAGTTAAAAACTTACATTCTCAGGAATAGTGATATATTCTATGTGTAGGCTATGGGATGAACAATAGCCTGGGCTACTACACTGAAAAAAATATATATAGAAAGCAAAGAATTGTGAAACAAAGAAAAGCACTGGATTCTGTACGCTTCGTTCCTTTAGAGCTAGATGTCGCTGCGCTATCATTGGACGTGGTCCGGCTTTGTCGCGCAGTCTGTTGCAAACGCTCCTGTTTCAGGTGATTCTGTTTGATCCTTTCCGGTCTCCGTACATTTCTATGTTATGACGTCATCTGGTCAGACGAGCGAGAGAAAGAGAGAGAAGCTTTGAACTTGCTAGGAAGCTTTATGAAACATTGTTTCTTCCTCAAGTTTCTGCTGGATTTTCTCTCTGGGTCTTACACATGGATCAGAAAAGGAGCATCGCTGATATGCGGCGTGTGAACTTCAGACTTTTCTGGACCAGCATGTGAGCTTGAACAAATATCATTAAATCAGAACAGGGAGGTCATGGACGAACGAGAAGGTAAGGATTACGCGAACAATATTTACTTTTGTGCCCAAAAATGTTTGCTTGAGCTCCATTAATACATAGCCTACTACTAAATATTATTTGTGTTGACTTTGTCGCAGTTCATAGACACTAACTTAAACCCAAAATATTTCAGATCAGATGCAGCAGAAAATAGCATGTAGGAATTTGCTCGTTCGATTGCTTTTTTTTTTTTTTGTAACTAGTTGACGTTTGCCGAGAAACAACACTCTGTTATAGCTGTCAGAATGAATTAAATCTGTAGGCCTATTGTATAATTTCTAAATATTTAAATGTTTGCTCATAATAAAAGTTCACAACTGTTTTGTTTACGGTGTTTAATCACACAACAGCCTGCTTTTCATTTCAAAGGAATTGGAGACTTTAAAGCAGTGTTGGTTAGAGAAGATCCATTACATATAGAAGTTTTAATGGTAAAATGCTAATAAATGGTCTAAATATAATAAATCAGTCGCTAGAATAGATTTTGCAGCGCGAGCGAGATACATAATAGCTAATACTTCAGCTCGTGTTCACACAAGTTTTAAAACGCAAAATGTACCACATCGTGTTAAAGTTAAAGCAACACTAAGTAAGATTTTTACTTAAAATATTGAATTTGACCTTAAAATAATGTTTCCAAAATCAGTGGTCCAGTAAGTCATAACAGGGAAAGGGATGGATTGAAAGGCACTTATGGATTCGCATTGCGGTCCTATCCCACCACGGTTGCTAGATCGGGTCTCATTTTTGTAGTTCTAATGAGACATAAGAAAACTTCACATTTGACTTGCTTTATGTCAAGCGTTAGCCATTATTTTGTTTTTCTTTGTTTCTGATGTCACAATAGCCTACATATACTTTCATTGAAATCATGCAACATAGCCTACTCTACCTTGTCTGTGGACGGACATTGTTCATTCCAAAGCCGGAGCTGGATAAACAACAATAGACTGTGGTAGGCTAAATTATTTACGACATCGATAATGGACAGATCTGCTTCCAACCTATAGGGCGACTGCAGACGAAAAGTTACTTGGTGTTGCTTTAAATGGCGTGGGCTTTCCCATGAAAACAAACAAGGTCTGTGTATGAGGTGCTAGTTCTGAAAGTTCCTCTGATGTTTGATTGACAGATGTGACGGAGTGCGCATGCACGGGCTGTGGCGGGACGATTCAGGACGGGTTTCATGTGAAGGTTCTTCAAGATGCCTGGCACAACTCATGCTTTCAGTGGGTCTTTACTTGATTTCTCTTTTAAACTGAGCCAGACTGGCTAGGGATGGAGCGAAATAAACAAAATGTGTTTAATTGCTTTCCTTGAATTTTTACTCTTACTCTTCTGAAAAAGCATTTAAAATCAGCCCAACATGGTTTTATAGTTTTAAATGTTTTCCCAGCCTTATATGTTGGCTGGTTTTAGAGGGATGTCCAGCTGAGCACAAGCCTAAGTTGTCAGCCTGTAGTAGACCAAGCTTAAACCAGAGAAAAATATCCAGTTTTCTTTCCCCCTTACACACATGTAGGCCTATTATGGGCTGCTTAGTTCAATTCATCTTGTCAGCAACTATTGGGACTGGGAATGCTTAGAACTTTCAGCTTAGATGCTTTGTTTATGTAAATGCTTGAGAGAGAAACATTTGTGTTAAAAAAAACGTGAAACGATAAAAAGTTCAAATGAGATTATGAAATGACTAAAGTTGTCCTCCCCTTTTCTATCTCTCATAACAAGGCATCTTGATATAGTGTAAAGGTCATTTTTAAAGAAAAAGCTAATGATCTAAAACTCTTAAATTCTAAATCGCCAGTTCTCGGCTAGATTAATGTGTCATTGAAATAGTTTCATCCCTAGTTAAAAATCTGCTTGCCAGAGTCCATACTGTCTGTATTTTTAAGGGCAGCTCTTTATTGTAGGCTACTTGTGACCATTGTTGCGTAAAGGACATCAGTTAACAACTCACCTCAGGAAACATTTGTCAAGTCACCTTTATTTATATAGCACTTTCTACAATACAGATTTATTCAATGCAGCTTTACAGTGATTACATGAAAATTATTTAATGATGGGATCATGTGAACAGCTGTGAAGCAGTTTTAAAAAAGTAAAAAAAAAAATAGTGTCATTGTTTTGCTGAAGTCAGTTCAGTGTTGATTCAGTTCTGTTGTAAAGATAATCAATTAATAAATTGATATAAAGCAGTTCTGCAGAAAACAGTGATGTCATTGTCCAGCTCAGTTCAACTATATTGTTTGTTATTAAGCGTTACCATGAATGAAAGTGAAAGCTTTTGGGGGCCTGTTTTATCCTTAATCTGAGTTTTAGACTCATTGAAAGTGACTTGAAAGACAAGTTTGACAATATCATCTGTGGGTGAAACCCCAATGGCGTTAAAGCTGTCTGAGAGGTAGGAAAAAAACCCATTCATTTCAAAAGTTCATAGCCAAGGTTTATGGAACAATTTTGTCATCATGACCGAATCCGTCTTGTGCTGGGAGACTTCGGACCATATGGAGGTTCCATAATGAGGGCAGAAATGACTCCAGGGCCCACAACATTTTATGCAATCTGGAACAAGCGTACAGCTTAGGGCTTTTTTCAGCAGTTGATTTTATTTTTTTTTCTTGTTTGGATAAATTTGAGTCTCCCAATTAAATCTTAGACATAACAGGCTTAATACCATCACAGGGTTTATTGCTATAGTTTAGTGCTTGATTACACAGTTAGTGATTAACTTCTTTCAATGGTATAGCTTAATTGATTATGACTCCTTGTTCCTCTGTGGAATCCCTCGTATGTTGTTTTTCTATGAGCAGTTGCAGTGCAGGTTGAATCTCCTCTCTGGTTGATAATTATGGGAGGGGTTGTAATGTCTTCTGAATGCTTCTTGGATCTGAATTTCCCTATTTACTTGAATTAACTGGTGATTAAAATGTGATTTATGTTGCATGGAGTTTATATTGTAATCGCCAAAGTTTGTTGATACCTCCTTAACTGTGTCGCCACATTTTTATCAGTTGTTATCTGTCAGCTTTCCCTAATTAACCCTCAGGTGCTCTTCGGTCATTTCTACCGGAAAAATTTATGTTTTGAAATGTTAAAAATCACAGCTTCATCGGAATGTTACGAAACTTGGTGACTTTTATTCCATTGGGTATGTGAACACACAAAAAAATTGAGGTCATGATCCGAGCATGCTAAGTGGTCATAAAAAAAATAGTCACACTTGTGCTCTTCGGTCAAAAATGACCGACCATAGGAAATGAATGGGAAATTGACAAAAACACAAAAACTTTGAGAATTTTTGTGTGTACAATCTACAAATCGGCCACGATGCAGAAAAAAAGTGCTCAGCATTGAAGGGGTGACACTGTAAAACATCAAGAGTGCAAAACAGACATACCCACCCCTACGCACACACATACACACACACTTTTATACACAAAAACACCAATAAATTGTGATTAAAGAAATCTGTTTTGAATATTTAAAAATCACAGCTTCTTCAGAAAATTACGAAACTTGGTGACTTTTATGGCATTGGGTATGTGAACACAAAAAAATTGAGGTCATGATTCGAGCAATTTAAGTGGTCGTAAAAAAATGAGTCACACTTTTGCTCTTCTGTCAAAAATGACAACCCATTGGAAATGAATGGGAAATTGATACAAAAAAAAATTCTCTGAATTTTTGTATGTACAATCTACAAATCGGCCACAATTCTAAAAAAAAAAAAGTACACCGCAGGAAAGGGGTGACACTCTACAACATCTAGAGTGAAAAACAGACACACCCACCAACACACACACACATAAAATTGTATTTATGTGAAAGTATCTGCAGATAGCACTTTTTTTCTTTCATTTTTATGGTATCGATTGAACCTAGGCATAGCTGTTTTGACCAAATCCAGATTTAAAATAATCTGTGGCATCTTTAAACACCAGGATTTGTTTTAACTAATTCAAATTAATGATGTGATGTGATTATAATACCATAATAAGACTAGTTGCGGGCAGCATAATGTTTCTTTGTTAATGTGAATGCAAGTATAATGAAGGAAGTGAAGAACCGTTTGTTCTGTTCTGCTCTGTCTGTACTGTTTGTCTTGAGTATATGTCAAGGTTTGAATAATTTCTTTTGTTTCACGTGCTGTGAAGCCTTTTATTTTTCCTCTGGGTGTAAACTGGAACAGGAACGAGAAGTGAAAGAGAGAGATATTTCTTGAAATACCTGGTCATCTAAAAGGGTGTTACAGAGGTTCAGTGTGTGCGTTGTTTACAATGATAGAATTGTAGGTCATTGTGATAATAATTAAAATGTCCCAATAGATCGGTTGTTATCTTCTCTGCCTATGATTATGATGTCAAATATCTCTTTCTATTTTAATATATATTTAAAAATATAATTAATTTATTCCTAATATGGCAAAGCTGAATTTTCAGTAGCCATTTGTCCTCGGCCATTTAAAAAAAAATCAAAAATAGTACAAACTATTAAACATATTTACTGACATATCGATTGAGACAAGCAATATTAAATATTGTAATTTATTAATTTTGAGTAATACTTTATTGCACAATGCATATTTCTTAATGTTAAGCTTCAAATAAGGAACTTCTAGTAACACAATCAGTGCTTGCAAATAAAATATAAGATATTTAGTGTACACCTACCATGTAAAAGTATACTTGCAACAGTTCCATTTTAGCACATAAAATATACTTAAGTATATTTGTTCTCATATTATGTTCAAACTTGTAATATGTACTTCAATGAGCTATACATTGAAGTAAGGGATTTGTTAGTACATTTCTGAAATGCATAACTCGGACACAGTCACCTCTTATAACAAATCACTCTAAATTTTAATGTAGACATCCATTTTCTATAAAGCTTCTTTGAATTAATATGTATAATGAAAACTGTTATACAAATAAATGTGAATTGATCTGAATAGTTATAGTTTTCAGTTATCCGGAAGAACTGCTGACGCTCAGCTAAAGTTTATTAAGTACAAAATTAGTTGCTCCAATTTAGCAGACTTTAAATATATCAATTTAGTATATTGAAAGTACAGTTCCAAGGTATTTATGTTTAGTACATAAATATCTAAATGTCTTATTAATACTTAAATAAAATAAATGTTTTCAAATACATTTTAGTATATTTATTTTTCACTAGGGATCGTCCATCAGAAAATAATCGAATATTTTGAATTTATGCTATTTTTACATTCAGATTACCATTGCTTTAACCAATTGCTCACTTTATGTTCATCTTTAAGAACACGAATAATTTAATAACACTTTTTAATGTAATCTCTAGCAAACACGGTACGGTAGCAAGTTTGTACGGTTTATTTATATTACAATATACTGCTATGTCTAAATTCCTTGAAGTGCTATTATAAGCATAGCTAAGATCTGTGCACTGCATTGGTATTCTCCATTTGGAACATGTCAGACATGTTTTGAAATTAGTAGCCAAAATGTACCAGTCGCATTTGGCGCACAGGTGAAAGTTTGTCATGCGTGCACACCTGCTTAGCCTTTGGAGTGTCCTCACAGATGTTTTCCTGAGGATGATTCACAAACATTTGCATCTGCTATGATGTCACTTTCGGATCACGGTTGCCTAACTTGTGAGCTGGTTTCACCCCACAGGCACACAAATGGTGTTCCTAGACTGGATGACAAGGTTCTACCCTCTCTGCATGGGTGACTGACTTATTGTGTCTGCTTCTAGAAACAAGATCTTGTCAACATTCCTCCAAACAAAGGCAACAATCGGGCTTATGGCCAAAATCTGTCCGTTCTGTCGACAGGCTTGAGGGTTTGCTGGCCTTCTCACACTAATGTGATCATTATCAGAACGTCTCAGCACTATGCTGCTTTTCCACATCCTCCCCACGTTCATTCCATTGAGTGGATTTTTTCCCCCCCTATTTCTTTCCCTCTATTTCCCTTTTTTGGCACATGGTGTACCAGAGAGAACAGCCTTCAGCAGAACATAGCATGCCAGACACTTCCCTTTGGCACTTTGTGTTGTTGGATTTGTCAGAGAGTTGGTTTCGAGTGATAGTTGGCCTTCAGTGTGCAGGCCTTGATTTGGATGCGAAAACAATCTGCAACGCATAGCTCTAAATTTAAACACCGAGTTCTAAAATGACTAGATTGCTAGAACTCACTGTTATGTTGATAAATTTCCATTCATACCGCACACCAAGCCATTCATGCTGTGTGCCAAATCAATTTTAATAGGGTATTTAAAAAGATGAATTATTAATACCTTCAGCATTGGAGAGTATTCGTGTTTTCCTCATTGTGGAAATAAAGCTCATTGAACTTCTGGAACATGGCCTGGAGATGATTTCCTGCCTGGATGCTTGGACTTTGCTTTGGTTCAGACCTGGTGGCTGTCTACCTCCTTTCCTGACCAGAGTCTCATAAAATAAAAGTAACTGTTTTTCAAACAACTTGACTGATTTTTTTTTTTTACAATTGTCTGAGAGTTTATTATTGCCATTTTACCATAGTGGCTAAGATGTTTTACTTTTCTCGCTTTTACCACAGTGGAAAATTGGGCCAGATTCACTCCTTACAAAATTGTTTATCTGCTACAGTTCTTTCTTAATTGACTTAGAGTTAGTTCACCCAAAAAGGAAAATTCTCTCATTAATTACTCACCCCCACGTGGTTCCAAACCCATAAGACTTTCATTCATCGGTTTGAAAAAATCTGAGAGTATTTTGTATATACGCAACTGAGACTTTGAATGTTCAAAAAGTGAATTAAGAGATCGTGAATAAAGAGATTAAACCAAATGTATTGAGCAGTTTAGTCAATTTTGATCACTTTAAGATTTTCATCACTTTATATGATAAACAGACTGAATTTAGTCTTTTATTCACAATATTAACATTGATCATCAGACAAACAGAAGCTTTACCGAACCGGCTTGATGTGCGAGAGGACAAACGCACTATGTGCACAAATGCACAAAAGTGCTGCGTAAAACATGAAAATACCTCATTGGTTCTTTGCAATAAAAGATGCGCTGCATAACACACGACAATGAACCTTATTGGTTCTCGCACATCGAGCAAACATGCTTGAGCTTCTGTTTACCAGATCTGATTTGTGAGTTGATGAATGTTTATGTGAATAAATGACTAAACTCTAGAGTTGCTCCAGAGGTGTGCAACCTCTGACATATATAGCAATTGTAAGTCCCTTTGGACAAAAGCATCAGCTAAATATAAATGTAAAATGTGAATAAAATCTGTTCATCAGATATAAAGACATTTTTGGACTAAACCATTCAATTCATATGGATTGGTTTTACGATCTCTTTTTGAATCGTCAACGTGTTCGTTGCGTTGCGGTCTATGGAGGGACCGGAAGCTCTCAGATTTCATCAAAAAGGTCTTCATTTGTTTTCAGAAGATGAATGAAAGTCTTACAGGTTTGGAATCGGATTGGAACGACATGAGGGTGGGTAAATTCTGTTCATTTTATTTTAGAAGAACTAACCATTTAAGCTTATTGTGATAAATAATCATTCAGGAACAGTGTTGTGATAACTACATAAAAATAGCATGAATAACTAACTACACAGTACACAGGTTTAATAAATTATGCAGTATATTCATATTATCAATCAATTGCCAATGGGTAGTCATGTAAGATAAAACAGTCCAACTATTTAGCAAGAAAAGAACAAACAATTTGTATTGAAAATTGTGTGGGCAGTTGCCAGGGCATTCCTATGTGCTATGTTCAGCTGTTTTGAGCTATCATTTATATCTTTACAAGGATAAGTAGCATAGAAAAATCTAATACTATTGACTGATTATGTATGTATTTATACATGTATGTTTTTTTTTGTCCAATAACTATCTTGCAGAACTTTTTTTTCTTTCTTATTTTGGTTTTACTAAGAATCACTAGAACGAGAATCACTGATACAACAGCACACATATACTGTTCAATGACTTTATGAGCAGGTCTGGGTGTGTATTTAGCAGAAATATTTTGGGCATCCATCATGGCACTGCCATTTGCCTCTAAGGCAGTACTTTAAAGTTATGCACCCATTAGGTGTTTCACATCTGATGTAGGTCCCAGTTGCCCCCCACCTCACCTCACCTAGTCTGGCAAAACAAGCTGTGGCATGTAAAGAGGAACTTTTTGCTTTTCACTCATCCTTCCTTGTCTCACCTCAACAAATGATCCTTTAATGTCTCAAAAAGCCTCAAGGTGCAAGTGCTCTGCTGTTCAAAGTCTTTAATTAGATGAATTTTTCTTTCTCGTAGGAAGTAGATAATAGCTTAAAGTGGCATAGCTTGTATCCCAACATCAGGTTTCAATTGTAGGTAGGGTGGCTGAGAGAAGGGTGTATGAGAGAATTTCATGACTTGTTTTGGCTCACGTCCCAAATTCCTTAACTATAGTGTTCGTGTGTGTTGACCGGTTGGACTTTGTCTCGGCCATGATTGAAAGAATGTCTTTGTACATACTTGAATGTGTCTCCTTTGACATAATTGACCACTGCTTTAGCTTGATACTAAAAAAATATGTTTTAAAAATAGAATGTACAATGTGAGTTATGCTATTTTCAGATGCATGGCTGAAACACTATAAACATTTATTAACTTATGTTTTTTCAATCCTTTGATGGACCATCTGTTGGAGCCAAATGTTTGGTAAATGTTAAAGTTCAACTAACAGTAAAAATAGTTTACTCATCTTCATGTCATTCCAAACCTGTGTGACATTCTTTTTGGCTGTGAAACACAAAAGGAGAAATATTAAAGAATAATATTGAGCACTCTTTTGCATGTAACAAAGGTAAATTGGACTGTCAAGCTCCAAAAAGAGGATAAGAGGAGTACATTCTTCAATATTGCACCTCCTTGTATTTTACTGAATAATGTCCTGTGGCCTTGGAACAGATTGATGGAGAGTAAATGAATGTTGGGTAAAATATTTATGTAAAAAATAGGCGCGAAATTCCCAATGACATGGTGAACATGTTGCATACCTCGACTACCTCACTTGCTAAACATTTCAGTCAATCAGGTTTCCATTCTCTCCTAGAGAGCTGAATGTTTAAAGGAACGTCTGCGAACAGAATGTTTCACTTAGACTTTTCCGCTCTTTTTTTTCCCCCCCACAGGTGTTCTGTGTGCTTTGATCTCCTGACAAACTGGTACTTTGAGAAAGAAGGGAGGCTGTACTGTCACAAACACTACTGCGAGAAGTTTGGGGAGTTGTGCCATGGCTGCTCGCTGCTTATGACGGGACCTGCTATGGTAAGAAAAGCCATGTGAACTTGTCCGAATTGTGAGAGAGTAAAGAAACTGACTTTCAGTCGGAAGGTCTTAAGAAGATCATTTCTGAAGGATCTGCTAACCTGCGCAAGAATCGCTTAGATAACACACCATTGTCTCATTCAGCAAATATTTACATGGCTAAATCAAGAGCTCTAAAGAAAGCAGGTAAAGTCAATAAATGCAGATGTTTTTCGTAGTCCCGAAGAGGTCACTGATAAGGTAAAGTGTGGTGGACGGGCTTTAAACTCTATTTCCCACTCCTAATGTGAGCAGTGAATCACATTTGAGTGATGCTTTTGGCAGGAATTACAGAGTTGTATTCTTGTGCCGAGATCTGTCATTAATTGTTTTGCAGCCTTAATGGGATAGTTCACCCTAAAATGAAAGTTCTATCATCATTTATCCATCCTCACGTTGTTTTGCAAAACACAAATTGATAAATTGAAGAATTTTTCTATTGATTTATGGTAATACTTTACAATTAGTTTCCATCAGTAAGGTTAGTTAATGCATTAACTAATATTAACTAACAATGAGAAATATATTTGTTACAGTGATATTAATCTTTAACAACATTAATAAAATATAATCTAAAAAACATGTTAGTTCTTGTTAATTAACCAATCTTAACTGATACAACTATTGATTTTGATCATGTATTAGTTAATGTTGAGATTAACATTACCTGAGATTAATTAATGCTTTAGAAATATTTTTCATTGTTTGTTCATTTTAACTAATCTAGTTAACTGATATGAACTTATAAACCTCATTGTAAAGTGTTACTGATTATTCCTTCTATGAAAGTTAATTTAATCTAATACTTTCAAGCTCCAAAAAGGACATAAAGACCTTACACAAACCTTAAACATAAACTGACTTCAAACATCATTGGTTCTCACACGTCACATGACCAAACGTTTGAGCATCACCATATTTGATGTCAAATATAGTTTGGATTTGAGAGTAAATAAAGGCTTACATTTCAATCTGTTCCTCATACATTACAAAGTAAGTTGTTTAGAGTAATTTCATGCAATCTTACTGTTCTTTTTTGGCGCTTATAAGGAGTCTAATTAGGCAACTTTCTTCAAATATCTTTTGTTTCTTTGTTCTTATTCTATGACGTGGTAGTTTTCTCATTTGTCTCAAGAATATAAATGAATCACATTTCTGATGAGATCTCAAATTCTCAATTATAAATGATCTCATTCCTGTGATCTGAAGGCTGGAATGGCCACAGTGTTGTGTGCTGTTTCATCATGCGTCTGGAATGCCTTTGCATGGGCTTCAATGAGGAGCTTTGTAATCCTAACGCTAATGGAAGCTGTATCAATGTGCGAGAGACTTACAAATCCATCTCTAATGTACACAAATCACTGCTCACAAAAACAGGTAGTTTTTAAATGGGTTAAGAGAGAAAGGGGCAGAAAGAGGAGAATTTGGCAGAGAGCAAACTGCATAATAGGCCTTTTCTGTTTGGGCTTTGATTAATGGATGCCAAGTATTTCTGGTCGGGGTGTGTTGCCAGTTGTGGGCTCAGAAGCTCAAGCAGCGGGGTGTCAACTTTTGAAAGATATAGGCAGGAAGAAATCACATCCTCACAGTTGAAGTGCTTGTATGAATATGTTTGTTGATTTGTTCATTGACCATCCATGATTATAAATTATTTTCTTTAGTTGTCTGAAAGTTCCTCATTGTTCAGTTTTGCCCTATTTTTTTTTCTACCTTCATCTTCAAATTATTTTTTTATGTCCAAGGCAGCTGTACTGGTTCTTTTTATGAGAAATGAACTCGACTAAATTAGTTTTATCTCTCTCTTTTTTTTCATCTGTTCAGTTAGCTGTGGTGTTCAGTTACCATTTTCATGTTAGCAGTGGTGATGTGACTCCATGAGTCCTTAGGGAGGGGTGGCTCTTTTACAATGTACTTCTGGGAAAAAGTCTCTCAAATGCACATTCACACTCTACTGTAAAACAGGTGGGTATGACGTTTATGAGTCATGTAAGCACAAAAAAGATTTGAGACATGCTTACTCACAGGTTGAACCAAGTGTCAAGCAGGTCAACTAACTGCCCTTGAGCAAAGCACTGAAAATGTGGACTGTGAAATATATATTTAATTATTATTTTATATTGTATTATATAAAATACATTTACTATTAACATTGTATAATTATTATTGTTATTTCTCTCCATGCTATGTCTATTATTATTATTATTATTTAGTGTTATGGTAGAAAATCTATTGTAACGGGGAAATGCATTTCTGTTTAATGCTAGAATAAGTGAGAACAAAAGCAAGTAGGCATACGATCCTCTAATTGCCTGTCTGCATGTTCTACACTCTGATTGTTGAATAGTGTAGACTGCATGAGGAGGTGTGGCTTACCCAGCCGACAAATTACCCAAGAATTTAGTTAGTCAAACCCTGGGACCGTTGATTCACAGCTCGGTAAACATAACTGCTAATCTGTCTTTTGTGGTTCACATTAAATGAAACCTCAGCGTGACCTCATACTTTCTCCATTCAGCCAGAAAGAAAGGAAGAGCCAGAGGATTATTGGTTAAATCATTTTCCATTCACAATAAGAGAATAAAAGTCTGTTTCTGTTCCATAACCCTTGTTGATTGGCAGTTCTTTTATATTGAAGATATCAATTTGTGTGCCTTAATACTTTAAATGAAGAGCTGCAGACTGTGTGTAGTTTCTTTCTAAGGAGTGAGATGGAAAGCTACTAAGATTTTGGCACTGACACTTTGTTTAATTTGAAAATCAAAGTAATGAATGTGAGTTTTATTTGGCGTTTATTTGGAGATAAATGTGTCCTTAGAAATTGACTAAATCCCACAAAAATTCCCTTTGGTGAGATCCTCAAATGTAATAAAATTATTAATAAACACTTATTAATGTTAAAAGTGCAAGATGTTTTCTTAGGGAATTAGATTTGATTTTGGTTAGTTTTGGTCTGAATTAGTAGAATGTGCTATATATCAAAACGGTATAACTGTAAAAGAAAGGGATTTGGGGTATTTAATTGCTTACAAGATTAATAAATGATTTAATTTATGCAAATGAATTCTGTGGAATTGTAATTAGTTAATGGATGTTTATGGTTAATGTATTTAAAGTAAACGGGTTAAAATGTTGTGTAGTTACATATTTTAAGTTCTTTTTTTTTCAGTTTAATAATTCCTCAGGGTAAAATGTCAACGAAAGTGAAATGAGAAAATAAAGCTTGCCCCAAACATTTCTGAAAACGGTTTCTTTTTGTAAATGTGTATTTTCTAAGATTTATGAAAGGGAGGTCAAAGAGATAGCCTGCGTTAGATAGAGGTAGGAGGTGTTAAACAGAGACTGACACACATTATCTGTGATGTAAGAGCATGGGATCATGGTTATAGGAAGGATCTGGGAGCCTTATGTCACTTATGATAACAGACAGGACCAGACACTTGCAGGTGTTAAGGAAAAAGATACAACGCATGCTTACGTCACTGCCAAAGAACGCAGACTGAAGGAAGACCGTACACAAAGCAGATGAAGCACAATGAAAGCATGATCCACTACACCTGGGCTTGGCAGAGATAGCAGTGAGCATATACTAAGCATACAGGAGTATTCCTGAAAGATTGTATCTGGACCACTGTCAGGGCTGGTGTTGTTGCTGGCACTTAGGATGTGGGCTTTTGGTGTGAAATCATGAGGCATCTGATGTTCTGAACTTCATCTACGCTGGATGTTCGTGTGTTTCAGGTGGCAGGAGACTATAAATATCACCCTGAATGCTTCGTGTGTTTGAGCTGTAGGGTGGTGATTGAGGATCAGGATACCTATGCCTTAGTGGAACGTACCAAACTTTACTGGTGAGTAACTTCACACTTTTCAACTCCAAACGGTACTAATTGTTGACTGTACTGGTGCAGAAATCAACTTTACTTTAGCTCCAAACTTAAGTATTGAGTATTAATTCCACTGTGTGGATTTTACATATCTTAGCTGGAACTATCAGATATCCTGATTTTACAAGGGGGTGTCCTGACAATTCAGAGTCGGCGCCAGAGCAGATCTACTGGAGGGGCATTGGGTCATCAGCGGGGGGGCACTGCCGTTTAAGCAAAAAAAAAAAAAAAAAAAAAAAACGAAACACCTTTTATTATTATAATTATTATTTAAAATTATTATTTGCGAATTTCCCCACCACTTTTTGCCAGGGTCGATGTTGTCCCAGCACTTTTATACATCTCGCGGCACGGATGTACCAATACAAATAAATATCCGGTTTACAGAGCATTCATTTGTTAAATAAGAGGCGATATAGCACGCTGAAATGTGTTGTTTTTTAAATCAAGTGATCAAAGTGCTCGTTGACTCGATCTGTGGTGCTGATAAAGTGTTCTCTTGTGTCTCGCGCTGCCACAATAAACATCTTCACACGGACGCGCGCTTGATCTGTTGCGGCGAAATCTCTATTCGTACAAGTAAAATGCACTCAAACATGTCCCTGCTTGACAACCACTGATAAACATAATCGGTTATAATGATGGGGGAAAAAAATATCTAAACGAGGGTGGACTCGAAACCACAATCTCATGCATGCCAGTCTAAATTTCTACCACTGGACCAACAACACTTGCGATAAAAATAGAATTGGATGCATGTATTTCTTCACGTGAAAATTCTTGGCACCAACACATTACATCCAATTAGACAACAAATTAAACACAATGTGCTATTCAAATAGATTGCTGGACATTTGGTATTGTATAGCCTACATCTGATTTATGATTTAGCATTGTATTAGAAACTGTGGTAGGAGGGGCATCAATGAGCGCTAGGGGGGGCACGGCCCTCGAATGCCCCACCATAGCGCCGACCCTGTGACAATTCATTAAACAAAAATGTAAATGTAAATATGTATCGGTTTCCATATTAGGCTCACTGAATTTAAATTAAGTATCTTCAGTGTGATTTTATCTGCAGTCTGTGGTACCATTTGAGGTGCTCAATAGGTTGACCTTGCAGAGACGCAAAGCTGTTTTGGTAACACTTTACAATAAGGTTCGTTAGTTAACATTAGTTAACTACATTAGTTAATATGAACTAATAATGAATAGCACATATACAGCATTTGTTAATCTTTGTTAATGTTATTTTCAACATTTACTAATACTTGATTAAAATCTTGTTAACATTAGTTAATGCACCGTGAACTAACATGAACAAACAATGAACAGCTGTATTTTCATGAACTAACATTAACAAAGATGAACAAATGCAGTAACAGATGTATTGCTCATGGTTAGTGCATGTTAGTAAATAATACATTAACTAATGTTAACTAATGAACCTTATTGTAAAGTGTTACCGCTGTTTTTGAAAGCCAAACTGAACAAAATCTAAGAATTTCTTTGTTCAACACTTGGAATTATGCAGTGTTTTGTTAGGGGCTCAGCTTACATTTTTGCAATTAAATTGGCATTGCAGATGACCAAGTAAATTTGCATTTCTGTTATTACTTTATATAATGATAGGTGGACCCTTCCCATGAAAAAACAGTCCAGATTCCCCCCACCCCCATTTGTCTAAGTTGTATTTGCAAATTTTACAGAGAAAACATCACATGAATTAATTAAATTGAAAGTTGTCCGTGGGAGGTGTTATTACATTAAATTCAAACTCTGGGAACTTGCATCCAAACAGTACTGTTAAACGGCAACTAATATTTAATATGATAAATCATCTCCTAATTCTTTATCAAAAAAGTTTTTTTAATGGATTTCTTAACTTGCGGTTTGTGTGGATTCAATTTGCTATTTTGTTTGGTGTTTCTCTTCATTTGTTGTTTTCAGTAAAGCACGGGCAGGTTGATACACATCTGAGTGTTTCATAACATGTCTGGTGGTGACTTGCTCTTGTCAGGTCTTGTTCTAAAAGTTCAGGTCCTAAAAATACTCTAGTGATGCTTATCAACTTCTCTAACTCACACAGTGGTAAATGCTACAAGCAGGAGGTCCTGACACCAATGTTGGAAAAGCGCGGTTTGGCCGACTCTCCAACAGACCTGCTCCCTCACACAGTAACTTTGGTATCCATGCCTTCTGCCACCAATGGAAAAAGGGGCTTCTCTGTCAGCGTTATTAGAGACTGCACCAGTGCCACTGCCAGTGTCCAGGTCAAAGAGTAAGTGAAGACATGCAGAATAAACATGTAAAAAAAATCTTGATGCACCCCCTACTTGCCTTACTTGAGGTAGTAGTTTGGGATCTGGATAAGCAAGGAGTCTGATTATGATGAATATGCTGTGAAACATTTGGAATAATAGAGACTAGAAGTTATTTATCACCTCAGAGATTCACCACAATGCCACCACACCCTATGCCAGAGACACTGTTAATGCCACATGGAATGTGTTGCGTAATTGTGGCAATATCACAGCTCATGTTGGTTTAAAGGCACAGACTGCCGTTTTGTTTTTGTGTTCTTTGGATGCAAACCCATAACTGAAAGTAATGAGGTTTCCCTCATCATTCCCCATCAGTCTTTTGACGAAAACCTCCCAAAACCTTATCCTTACAGGGTCAGAGGGATGCATATTAGTCCAGAGGTTCGCAACGCCATCCATGTTGGGGACCGAATCCTGGAGATCAATGGGCTCCCGGTGACGGCTTTGATGGAGGAGGAGGTACTTTCCATTTTTTACTGCTACCATGCTTGATATTAGCTTTGAGGTGCGGTGAAATTGTGCCAACGCTAACGTGTTGAAGCAATGTGACAATACAGAGGAACGGCATGATAAACATTTGAAATACAAACTGTCATACCATAGCTTGTCCCAGCACATACAATGACACTCCTTTCATACCTTGGTAATAACTTTAACCTGGTCATGCACTGAATTTACATTACTCCCTAGTAACACACTGTTTGTTATATGGCTTTGATGCGTGTTATTATTATCCATATTACACTTGGCACATCTGTTGTGTTTTGTTGGTGTTAATGTTGCAGACACAATATTTAGTTTTCTTAAGAATAAAATGTAAGGAGCCATGCATGGGTTTAACCCATGTAATGCATACCTGTGTTGGGAGGTTTGTGTTTAGACTATAGTACTAAAGTGACTTGTCAACTCCTGTTTAAATGCTTTGCATTCTCGTAGTGCATTTGTAAATGTGATTTCATTTTCCCACCACATCTCTTTAACATTTGAATTCCACTTCTTCTCTCTGTTGTGGATTTGTGCCTTAATTTAATCTTGTACCATTGAGGTTTTAGGACTGACTTTGTTTGGCAGCCATCTGCAAGGTATAATAAGCTTCCTGAGGTTCCCTTAATCCTAAAAAATGTAAAAATGTAAAGTCCTGAAATTAGGGCTGGAACTAACGATTATTTTTTCAATCGATTAAATTTACTGATTAACCCCCGGTTAATCTGTTGTTTATTTTCTGAATAGCCTATTAATCATGTGGTTAATTTACAAATAAATACTAACCATAAACAAACTATGTATGAACTTCACGTAATGATACTACACTGAACAAAATCATAAATGCAACACTTTTGTTTTTGTCCCCCTTTTTCATGAGCTGGACTCAAAGATCTTCAAAAGACTTTTTCTATGTATATACAAAAGGCCTATTTCTCTCAAATATTGTTCACAAATCTGTTTAAGTCAGTGTTAGTGACCACTTATCCTTTGCCAAGATAATCCATCCACCTCACAGGTGTGGGGGTTCAGGTGTGACCGCCATTTGCCTCACGCAGTGCAACACATCTTTGCATACAGTAGATCAGGTTGTTGATTGCGGCCTGTGGGATGTTGGTCCACTCCTCTTCAATGGCTGTGTGAAGTTGCTGGATATTTGCTGGACCTGGAAAACGCTGTTGTATACCCTGATCCAAAGCATCCCAAACATGCTAATGCTGACTGGTGAGTATGCTGGCCATGCAAGAACTGGGATGTTTTCAGCTTCCAGGAATTATGTTCAGATCCTTGCAACATGGGGCCGTGCATTATCATGCTGCAACATGAGGTGATGGTCGTGAATGAATGGCACAACAATGGGCCTCAGGATCTCGTCACAGTATCTCTGTGCATTCAAAATGTCATCAATAAAATGCACCTGTGTTCATCGTCCATAACATACGCCTGCCCATACCATAACTAACACCATGGGCCACTCGATCCACAACGTTGACATCAGCAAACCACTCAACTACACGATGCCATACACACTGTCTGCCATCTGCCCTGTACAGTGAAAACCGGGATTCATCCATGAAGAGAACACCTCTCCAACGTGTCAGACACCATCGAATGTGAGTATTTGCCCACTCAAGTCAGTTACGACGGTGAACTGCAGTCAGGTAGAGACCCCGATGAGGGCGACAAGCATGCAGATGAGCTTCCCTGAGACGGTTTCTGACAGTTTGTGCAGAAATTCTTTGGTTATGTTAACCGATTGTTGCAGCAGCTGTCCGGCTGGCTGGTCTCAGACGCTCTTGGAGGTGAAGATGCTGTATGTGGAGGTACTGGGCTGGTGGGGTTACACGTAGTCTGCGGTTTTGAGGCCGGTTGGATTTACTGCTAAATTCTCTGAAACGCCCTTTGGAGACGGCTTATAGTAGAGAAATGAACATTCAATTCACGGGCAAGAGCTCTGGTGGACATTCTTGCAATCACCATGCCAATTGCATGCTCCCTCAAAACTTGCGACATCTGTGGCATTGTGCTGTGTGATAAGGCCACTGTAAAATGTGCAGTTTTTTCATTGTGGCCAGCCTAAGGTACACCTGTGCAATAATCATGCCGTCTAATCAGCATCTTGATATTCCACTCCTGGAGGTGAATGGATTATCTTGGCAAAGAAGTGCTCACTAACACAGATTTAGACAGATTTGTGAACAATATTTGAGAGAAATAGGCCTTTTGTGTACATAGAAAAAGTCTTAGACATTGAGTTCAGCTCATGAAAAATGGGGGCAAAAACAAAAGTGTTCCGTTTATAATTTTGTTCATTGTATTTACATGAAAAGATAAGGTTTATGCATTGTAGGCCCAATTAGGAAAGGTGTTTACTTTTGCTGCGTTCAGTTATTTTTGGGGGATTTAAAGCAGCAATTGTTTTACAATTGTGAATCCTGAAATGATTTGTTTATTTAGAAGATTAAAGTAGCTGCTTGAATATGTTCATTCAGCTGTACGATCAAACAGCTTAAGTTACTACCGCATTCTAACCATAGCAAACCGTATTAAACATGGCGGTTTCCATAAACCGTGAAGTTTTGCCACAACTGACAGCACATAATTAAATAAATACCAATACCTTGACTTCTATACTGATTCCTAAACTATACCTTTTTTTTTGTTACCAATTTTATGAAATCTGTTTTAACAAGATTACGTTACCTAAAAAAAAAAAAACTTTATTTTTTCAGTTTGTTGACTTTATTTATTTTTTTTTTTTTACAGACTCAGACTTATATAGGCCACTGGAAGGTGATATATATGCCTCGTGCTGAAGCGCAAGCATAGAGCTTGCCTCAAAGCATTGGCAAAAGTAGCCTAATGATTATGAATGTGTCGGAAAAAAATAGCATGGAGACATTTTGACTATTTATAAACGAGTGTTTTCTGAGTCAGTGCCGGCTGCAAAGATGAAGTTGACGTTGCTTACTGATCATCTCTGCAGTATAGTGAATGTGCATGCATGACCCTATAGAGAGAAATGCAACTTTCATTTGGATAACACGATCAGAGTGTTTTCGATTCAAATTGGTTCTTTTAAAAGTAGACATTTTAAGCTTTCTATATGTCTATGTCACGTCTGAGAGGCAAGTAGCCTATACGCGGAGTTAATTTATGTGACGCACTCCAGTTATTTTTGCAGTTAAAGACGGAGCAACTTTCTACTCTTAAGTTTGATTTTAAGGCCGATTTTCAGCATGCCCAGGAGCTGCCATCATTGTGGAACATAAACAGTGCAACGAATCGGCACATTACTCGCAAATCGACTAATTTGCATAATGAATGTAATCAATAATGTTGAGGTGTCATTCTAGGCTTACAGAAAGCTGTTAGATGTCTTCATTTTTGGATGTCCAGATTTGACCTGAAAATATTGAATCTCAAATGTATTCCACTGTTCCTGTGTATTTCACAATCTTAAATTTAGTGTTGGTATTGAGTGTTTGTCTTTTGGCAAGACCTTTTGTGTGGCACCAGCTTTGACTGGGAGGAAAATCAATGTTATCAATGTGAACAGCACCAGTGCACAATGCTCAAGTTTTATGACCAAATGCTGTCCTCTAGCTTTTATTATTGTTGTGACGCACTGGTGCTTATCAAAAAAGACCAGGAGTTTTTTGTGACCTTCTGAATTCTGATTGGTCATTCTAGGTGGAGGACCTCATTCATAGGACCAGTCAGACACTGCAGCTGTTGATGGAATATGATCCAGTCAGACAGCGTCTGGAAAAACTTCGCCTGGGCTCTTCCCACAATCAGCTGGGTGTCCCCGCGGCCTCCCGCATGCGTCTGTCCTCAAATGCTGAGACTGAGCGGAGTGACACAGTGGACAATAGGACGTTAAAGAGGAGGACCCTCAGGTAACTTATCCAATCAGTTTTCAGCACGGGGCTTGTGTAGGTATAGCATTTCAAACTGGAGCACAATTTGTTTTTTCCACAAGTGGATGTGGTACAGATAGGGTGCAAAGCAAATGCACTACACACTTGTTTCTCCTTTCCTAATTGCTTTTTGGGCTTATACAGAATCAATACTTTTCATTTGTGTGTTGTAGACGTAGCAACAGCACCTGCAAGTCTCCAGTCTCTCCATCTCCTAAGGACCCTCCAGTTCTGACTCGAGATATCGGGCGCTCTGAATCCCTCCGCTCTCCTTCTAGCTGGTCCCACCGTATCTTCCGTCCCTGTGACCTCATCCATGGAGAAATCCTTGGAAAAGGCTTCTTTGGACAGGCCATCAAGGTTTGCATATGTTTAATAACATATCTCATATTCTGTATAATGCAGTGTATAGGTGGTCACTGGTTCCCCAAAAGTTATCTAGAAGAGTTTTATCACTGCATTGAATAAGCTTAGTTCAGTGTTGAAGGACAGGTTCTGTACAGGAATCATAAGGAATTTTGGTTCTGATTCCACAGTTCCATATTGCGCTTCCTTAATGATTTGCGTTTTCAAATTTTACAACTTGACTGAAGAAATTTCTATTGCTTTGGGATGCCGCAGTGCAGGATTATAGTTCCATTCACAACTGAAGAATGAAGAATGCAGGTGTTCGAGAAACCTAGTTCATTAAAACAATTTGGATTCAATGTTTTTGAAGAACTAGAATCACTTTTATGATTTCCAACCCCTTCTCTAGGTGACCCATAAAGCCACAGGTGAGGTTATGGTCATGAAGGAGCTGATCCGCTGTGATGAAGAGACACAGAAAACGTTCCTCAAGGAGGTATGAAGATCCCTTTCTTTCCCCGCAAGTCCTCCATCTGATTACCTCTTAATTTTTTTCTTCATCTCCCTGTATCCACTTGTATTCCTTCCATCCCTTTGTTGTCTGCTCTGGGTCAGTATCAGAGTGTGATTTAAACCGCAGATAAAACGGATCCATGTGGCGCCGGGATACAAGTGTTGCTGTAGGGTTTGTGATTTTCTTTAGAGGAAAAGAGACTTAGTCTTAGATTTATCCAGTCTGTATTTAGTATGAATAACTTTAAGAATCTCAGCAATTAATTGTTTTCTCTCTCTTTCTCTCTTTTCAAGGTAAAAGTGATGAGAAGTCTTGATCACCCTCACGTTTTGAAGTTCATTGGGGTTTTGTACAAGGACAAGCGGCTTAATCTGATAACGGAATTCATTGAGGGAGGCACCCTGAAGGATTTTATCCGTGACAAGGTGCGTCCTGATTTTAAAATCCCTTTTTTCCCTTTCCTCTTGCTTCTAGGAAGGGTCGTACATCATCAGTTAGTGTTTTAGTCTTTGTCGCTGTCTCTGTTCACCTGAGATGAACTTTGCAAGTAGAAAGGGAGAGGGACAGGGAATAGGGACTGAAAACACAAACACACTCTGAGAAATTAAAGGGAGAGAATGCAGTTGTTCGGTTGCATCGGGTGAGAGATAAAGGAGGTATGAAGTGTTTCCAGGTGAGGGATTCGTGTGGGAATGTTTTCCAGATCACCCACTGTGTTTACTTCAAATATGGGTTTCAACACCAAACATAAGGATAACAGATGATACCTCTCTCATTCAGTCTTTCATTGTGTCTATAATGCACTATAATGTTTTCAATAAAATTGTCTGTGTGGTTATTTGTGTCTGTAATAAGCGGCTGCTATTATGTAACGATTTCCTCTCGATTTTACGGACAGCATAGCGTGCTGTCAGACTGGGCTGTATTATAGTGTGGTTATAAACTAGGCCAGCAATTCATCTCTCTCTCTCGCTCTCTCTCGCTCTCTCCCAACAGGACTCATTCCCATGGGAACAGAGAGTTAGTTTTGCAAAGAGCATTGCATCTGGAATGGTGAGTGGGCTTCTGGGTGTGCACACTTATAGCATTGCAAAACAATATAAGCTATTGTTGTACAATATTTGAGGCACTTTTGGATCATAGCTGACATATTTATGTATATATATTTTTATGGAAATCATGAGAACATTTAAATGGATTTTGTGGCCTGTTTTAAAGGGATACTCCACTTTTTTTGGAAATAGGCTCATTTTACAACTCCCTCAGAGTTAAACAGTTAAGTTTTACCGTTTTCGAATCATTTTCTGATATTTAGAAGAAAATCAGTAACCAGACTGTTTCTGGTCTCATTGACGAGAGTAGGAAAAAATATACTATGGTAGTCAATGAGACCAAACTGTCAGCTGAATGGATTTGAAAATGGTAAAACTCAACTGTTTAACTCTGAGGGAGTTGTAAAATTAGCCTATTTCCAAAAAAGTGGAGTATCCCTTTAAGTAGCTTTTGTTAATGTTAAAAAAAATCCATCTTAGATTAATATACAAATACTGCTAGACTTCCGTAGGTTGATTGAAGTGTAAACACTGTGCCTCTGGTACTATCAAAACGTCGTTGTTGTTGTTGTATTTTTAGTGTCCCAAACAGTGTGGTTCAGCTCCACTGGCTCCACTGATGGCATGATTTTGTCAACAGATAGCAAATAAAGCCTATTTCATATTTTGGATTACATTTGATGTCATTAGACGAGCAAAAGTACTAGTATCAACACAAGCCCAAATTTATTAGTCCTGTTAAAAGAAGAATCTGTGACATCTCCATGGAGTAACATTTCAGAAATGGCATGTCATTTGATTTCTATTTCAGAAGTCCCAGGCCCCAGCCACTGTAAAAAGTGATCGGTTCAAGACGTCTATACATTAAATATGTTTTAATGATGCAAATATATCTGCGCCATATTGTTTATCAACCTATATCAGTATCTTTTATATTTATTGCCATCATCCATTATTGGCTATTTATCCGTTAATGTTGGATATTTAAGCGTTTTTGTCTATTTTAAAATGTAGATCATCATCTGGCTCTAATTAAGGGATACTGATAGATATGCCAAAATGTCAACTTTTCTAATAGGTTCCTAAACAAGGTTTCTAATAGTTCCTAAACAATTTCTAATATGTGTGTATGCTGCTTAAAAGCAAATATTGTCTGGGAATTCTATGTTGTTATAAGCCTATTCAGAATGACCGCGGTTGTATTGTGCCATGCAATATTTGCACACACATTACTTGCTACAAAAAAACTTGTAAAATTACACCTGGTTAGGACAGGTGGTTTTACCTTCCTCTCCAGGCGCATAGTTGAGGAGACAGAGAAGCAACTTCCTGTTTTGTTGTGTCCTGTTGCCTAGCGCTGCTGTGATGCACAACTTCAGTTTTTGTTTTAGTTCTGGTTGTTGTAGTGATGATCAAGTGTCTAATGCATTTCTGTCTTTCCTCATTCTGCTCAGACACAACCTCTTCTTTCTTCTCTGATTGGTTTTGTTCTTTTCTTATTCTTTCAGGCATATCTGCATTCAATGAGCATCATACATCGAGACCTAAACTCTCACAACTGCCTGGTCAAACTGGTACGGGAGGTGTTTCACCCATTTCACATTAGTCTAAATTGCTTGGGGAGCCCAGGTCCCAGAATAGCCGACAGGCTTGTGTCAGCACAAATAGAAAGGCTAAAGTAGACAAGCACCCAAAAACAAGTTACGTAAGAACACTTGAGCAGGAGAGAGAAAATGCAGCGAAGGGAGAAGAATCGTTCACAATCTTGAGGATTGTTTAGTTTAATGGTTGCCCGCTTGTTGAGTTAGTGGTTAAGAAGATAAGTCAGGAAATGCTGTCATTCACATATCCTGAGTGAATCACTTCTGACAAGCTATTTAAAGAACCAAGAGAACAAACATGCCTTTGGGACCTAAACATTTACACATGCAATAAGAGTTTAAAGCTAGGCCTGACTTCTGGTGTTTTGACTCTACTTTTTAATTATTTTGTCAATTTTACATTATTATTATTATAATTATAATTTTTTTACATGTTGTTCCTTTATACTCATAGAAATGTTTATCTAATTCTGTCATAAGCATTTTTGCACATTAAGCATAAATATGTTCGTCTTTGCTCTACTTGTCTGACCCCTGCAGGACAACACGGTTGTGGTGGCAGATTTCGGTCTGTCTCGTCTAATCATGGATGACAAGGTCAAGCAGCCACCCCCCGACAAACCGACCAATAAGAAAAGGCTGTTTAGACGCATTGACCGTAAGAAACGCTACACTGTGGTGGGGAACCCTTACTGGATGGCCCCAGAAATGCTCAATGGTGAGAAGAGAGATTTAAACTTAATCACAAAACTTAAATATCCATGCTGCGCCTGAAAGATTTAAAAATATCAGTAAACAGTTAAATTTTTGTGACTATGGACATTAATGTCTGAGAATATTTTGTTCATGTTTTTTCTGTTCTTCCAGGTAATTGCCATCACCTGTTATAAAGGTGTTTGTGAGTTGTGTTTTGTAAGCTTGTTTTTCTTGATGGAGCTCTTTTTTTTCTGTGTGAACAGGTAAACGCTATGATGAGAAGGTGGATATTTTCTCCTTTGGCATTGTGCTTTGTGAGGTAAGAGTCTTTAGTAGTGGTAAACATCTCAAAGATTATATGGCATGTCTTTATGAAGACAGCATGAGCTCTTAAATCTAACTGTCATTTATGTAAGCACTTGCTCGGAATGTCGGAATGCCGAAAGCAAACGTTACGCTCAAATGATTTGAGTCAAAATTTCATTCTCGGGTTATGTAAGAGGATGCTTGAAAGTTTCATTGTCTATTTTTCTTCCATTTGTCCTCATTCATTCTTCTTTCTTTTTTTTTTTTTGGTAATAGATTATTGGTCAGGTTTATGCAGATCCCGAGTGTCTTCCGAGAACGCTGGATTTTGGGCTCAATGTGCGAAAATTCATCGAGAAATTTCTACCTGAGCACTGTCCTCCTGCTTTCTTTGCATTGGCTGTGGCTTGTTGTGACCTTGCCCCTGACAACCGGTAAGTGCCACTGTGTTTTGTCACAAGTGCCCTTCTTTTAGTAATGTTGAAGGTGAGATTGAAATGTTAACAATAGTTTTGTTTTTTTTTCTCACCACAGTGTGAGAAAAAAAATTATCATTTAAAATCATTTTTTAAATAATTTAAATTATCATTTAAAAATGTTAAATGATAATTTCCCTGAGGTGTTTTATTTATAAAAATGTTCAACTGACACTGTAACTGCTTGAAATGTCATGTCAGCTACCCATGTGTATTAAAAAATCCTTAAAGGGGTCATGAACTGGCTTTTTAAATTGTATTATATTGTTGTCTGAGGTCAACTTATGACGTTCGCTTGGTTTTTGCATTCAAAAACATCAAAATGAATAAGTAATAGGCTATTTTGTACCCTAGTTTTGAAAAACGCTCTGTTTCAACGAGTAGTTTGCAGAGGCTGGTGTCAATAAAAGCTTTTATTGGACTAATAAGGACGTTTTCAGTTCTGAAACTTACAGGATATTCTTATAATATGATGACCTCTTAGATGTCAAAAGCTCAAGGAAAATTTGATTTCTCAGTTTATCAACCCTTTAAAAAGAACCTGCACTACCATTCAAAAGTTTGGTGTCTGCATGTTATTTTTTTTTGTTAGATAAATACTTCTATTCAACACAGATTCATTAAAGAATTATTTAAAAAAAAAATTGCTGTTCTTTTGAACTTTCTATCAATCAGAGAATCCTGCTGAAACTTTATCAGTTTCCAGAAAAATATTGTTTTCAACACCGTTAATAAGAAATGTTTCTTGAGCAGCAAACCATCATATTAGAACGATTTCTAAAGGATCGTGTGACACTGAGAGTGGAGTAATGGCTGCCGAAAATTAAAGAAAACAAAATGCTACTTCACAATCACGGAAATAAATTATATTTGAGAACGGCTATTTTGAATTGTAATAACATTTCACAATATATCTGTGTATTTTGTTTAGTTAAAAGCAGCCTTGGTGAGCAATGAGCATAAAATAATTATTTTGAGGAAAAAAAAAAAACTTTACATCTTACCAACCCTAAGCTTTTGAACAGTAGTGTATCTAGCTATAGTTGAACCATGGTGATTAACATTACCCTCTATTGGACGGAAAGACTTCCAGCTCTTACCTCTTTCTTGTTCCTGTCTTCTTCAGGCCTGCTTTTCAGAAGTTGGAGGACTGCTTTGAGGCATTGACTCTCAATCAAGAGTTGAATATCCCTCTGCCTGCTGAACTGGATGAACTTCAACAGGAGTTTTTAAGGACTTATGGACCCAATGATATTGCCTCTGAAAACCAGGAAAACAACAGGAACTAATCACATGGCAGGAAAGGCTGAGATATGGGCTGGATATATATATATATATATATATATATATATATTTTTTTTACTTTTTTTACAGAGTTTACAGAACTGAATTGGAGCATTTACCTTGGGTTTGCATTCTGGGTACATGCTCAAGTGTTCTTTGGAGAGATCCGTCACGACATGCAGAACTTTGAGGGCATTCTAGAACTGCAAAGGGTTCCAAGCAGAGTTCTGTTGAGGGAACAGAAACATTTCAGTGACCATGAGCTTCTTTTTGCTTCTGTCTAATTTGGATGGCTTAGGCCTAGTTATGATTTAACCATGTAGCTCAAACCTTTAAGCCTACCACTAGTTTATCATAGATCTCCCTGATGAAGTTTTCCATTAATGTCAGATTAATGAAAAATCATAGAAGTAGCATCCATTACATTGACTTTTTTTTGTTAATCACCATAATTATAAAAGTGTGGTTGGGTGAATCTCATGAAGCCTGTTAAGAACATGTCTGGGTCATATTTCAGCCCACATTAAAAAAGGTATTTATCCCTTTCTTTTTAAGTTTTAGACCACTTCTAAATGAATGCACAATACAGAAATGTGGAGAAAATGTACTTAATTGTCATGGAAATGTCACAGTAAGAGTGTTACAAATAAGGTAAAATGTGACATCAACATATTTTTAAATTATAAAAAATATGGAAAGTTCTATTGACTCATTGAAACTACCTGAACTCTAGGAATGTGTGTAACTCAAGCATTGTTGGAGCACACCACCTCCTGCAGGTTGTTGTGCTTATGTACACTCAATCCCTTGGTTGTTTCTGTACCACTAGCACTTGAGGTCCTGACCTCTAACTCAAAAAAGACAGTGATAAACATTTCTGAGTTCTGATTTGTGTGGTTTCTTGGAAATGCTTCTTATATTGTAGTTAATTCCTGGTACATCAGCTATTTGGAAACTGGAGTTGTCTATTCCGCTGTCATGGACTCACCTTGTAAATATATCATGACAGGGCAAGAACTTTTTTTCTCTCTGTATCTAAACCTGACCTGGAGTTGTATTCTCCAAGTGAAATGATAAGTGAGATCGTAATGCTGGATCTTGACCGGCCGTTTCTCGTGAAATAGCCTGTAATAAAAATGTCTGCAATCGCAGAATTTAACATGTGACTGTTTGTGAGGATGTTTTATAATGAATGTCATCATCACTTTGATCACAAATGTTTAAATTAAAACTGGATATATTTTTCATCTTTGTATAGATTTGATGTCATGTTGGGATCATGTGGATTTGTAGTTTGCATATGTTTGTAGAATGTGAAAAGCTGTATAAGAGCATTTGTTTTCTCTAGTCTTTTGTCAACGGTACTGACATGTATAAAATTATAACCACTACTTGTACGCCACAGGTTTCTTACACTAATGTTTAATGAATAAAGATGTAATAAAGTATTGGCTATAGATACATTCATTCACGTTTTTAATTGTATAATTTTTGTAAGCGTTTCATCAGCCACAGGGGGGCGCTGTTGTGTAGTATATGGAGCTGACATATTAAATGTCATGTCACTATTTCTGCAATATTCTCAATAGCCTGGTTTCACAGACAGGGTTTAAATTAAGACCGGATTAGGCTTTAGTTGACTTAGGACATATAAGTAACTTTTATAAATGTTCCTAATAAACAAACATTACTGGTGTGCATCTTAAAACACTAAAACAGCGCGTTTTTCTGAGCCCCCCAAAAATGACAATTTAAACATCCTGTAAAAAAAAAATTATCTGTTCGGGTATTTTGAGCTGAAACTTCACATAAAGTTACACATTCTGGGGACATCAGAGACTTATTTTACATCTTGTGAAAAGGGGCATACGGGACCTTTAATACAACATTGATTAAAACATTAACGATTCATTTACACAAATATACGACTTTACATACATGGCTAAATACCGGTTGGATATGCTAAGAATTTGTCAAGAGTTACCAGTAATTAGCTAGCAAACTAATTAGCAACATTTTGCCTAACCTAACGTTAAACGTTACACGTACACAAAAATACACGTTACACAAAAATAATCTTTATAACTAACAGTTAGTTAGCTAACATTTTAGCTACATACCACTTTGTTCTGATGACTTGGATGACCAGTGAAGGCACCACAAGATTTCAGCCTCCTAAGGAGTCCTTTGCTGGTGTTTGCTCGGCTTCATACGAGTAGCGTGCTTCTTGCTGTCTGCGTGGTTCACCCATATTGATATAGCTCAATAGTAGTTTTACAAACTTTACATTCTGTCGTCTACTTTTAACACCCAGTCTTTCAACTGTTCATTTTGTAGCCAAAGCTCTTGAAATTTACATTTTCCTGGCATGTTTGCCTTAGTCGAATGCAGTCACCCACACCTGTTCAGGGTTCACTAAGTGATTTCCAATTGAGCGGGATGGGAACAAATATGGCGCTCAAACTAGCCTAAGCACAACAATACAGAAAGACGTGTGAAACGGCGCGATAAAAAAAAAAACGGTATAGAAAAATTACATTTTGAGAAATAGAAACTAAAATTTAAAGCAACAAACTAAATTCCCTTATATTCCATCACTTGGACAAAAAATATATAAAATTCCCTGTCTTTCAATGTCTGGAATAGACCTTTTAAAATTCCATGACATTCCAGATCAATTTGCTCCCTTTTGGGACCGACCTCTAGCGGATTTTCGATGTATTGGAGTTTTTCGCACTTCCGGGTACAGGCTTCATGTTCATGTCTTTCTTTCTTCATTCGAAAAGAAATTAAGGTTATTGATGAAAACATTCCAGGATTTTTCTCCATATAATGCACTTTACTGGGCACCAAACGGTCCAAGGTCCAAAAGACAGTGTCAGTGCAAACTGCAAACTGTTCAAAGGGCTTTAAACGATTGCAGACAATGAATAAGGGTCTTATCAAGCGAAACGATCGCTCATTTAAAAAAAAAAATAACAAAGCTTAAGTTTTATAAGCTCAAATGGTCGCCTTGCTGTGATGCACATTCGTGACTCTCCTGTTCGAACTCGTTCATCAAAATGAACAAATCTTTTTCTGAGTCAATTCCTTAATTTCGTTCGTTGAATGAACCAAATGACAAGAAAAAAGATTCGTTCATTTGGATGAACGAGTTTGAACAGGTTCAAAAGTGAACTAGTGTCATCTCATCACCGGCCCACCAGTGAGCCCAAATCCATAACATTTTTAATGAATGATTGATTTTCAAATAAATAACAGAGGAGCTGTAATTTATCAATTTGCAACAAGAATATTTTTTCATATACTCCTAAGGCATGTTCTGACCTTTAATTTGAAATAATGATGAACATGAAAAATCATGAAAGAAGGGTAGAAACCTGAGTTTGTTTTCATTGCATGATGGCCAAAGTGTTCAAAAGATAGCATCCAATCAATTATTTTAGAAAAAAAGGTCTGAATTTTTTTTACATATAGCCTAAAGAAAAAATTAGATACACCATTTGTGATGTGGCAGCGAGCTACACGCACATACTTGTTCTTTTTATGTGTTTATTAGAGGTTGAATTCATATCAAAACCTGCCAAATTTGTATTATTTCTGAATAGAATGTCTCCTTCATAAATTGTATGAAAATTGTGGAAATAATGGTTCATATCACTCAAAATGCATATGGAAATGGAGCGCCCTTATATGGGCAGTAATGGAGTCTGGTTGTTATCTAGTGAAAAAGTTTGGTACTGCGCCCAAACAAAATCTCACTGAAAGCTCATTATTTGAGATATCAACCTAAATTTTGAAACATAACTTGTTCAGATTTTTTGCTTTGAGTTTTTATTTTTTGAAGTTTTAGAGTGGCTTTTGGCTTTGAGTTTTTATTTTTTGAAGTTTTAGAGTGGCCCAGGTTTTGAAAATATATATTTTAAATAAAATATGAATAATTACATTTATTACATTGTACATTTTCGTAAACTCAAACTTCTATAACTTTTCTATTTCACTTTCTTAATTTATTTCACTTCTACATAAATCTGCCAAATGTCTTCTTTGCAAGTATGCAAGTCCTCTACTCCTACAAGTGATACATAGAATAAGCCATGAATGTGTAAACTATTACAAGATCATGTCCAAAAAGAAGTATGACAATATAATTTCAAACATTTATTTCACAGCAGGAAAAAAACTGCCAAAAATAAAAATACAATATTTTCTGGAACTTTAAACAGTTGTACAGTCTAATAAACCATGGGAAAACAAATGTATACATAAAGTCCCATTTCATAAACTACAATCTCTGCAAAATCTCTATATTATTTTAATCGTCATCTTGCACTCTCTTTCAGTCTTTGAATTCTATTGCCTTAATGGAATATCATACTCTTATGCGATCCCATTCTCAGCTTTTGTCCATTGTCTTATTTCAGCTCATCTGTATGGTCAGGAACATGATATGAGCATTGATATGATGAAAAATGTAACCAGACCACAAATCAGACCCATTCTGATTGGTTTGCTATGAGAGCACTCACTTGCTCGTTGTCAGATTTTGGCCACAGAAGCAATAATACATTCAAATGTAATTTACCAAGGCAAGATCTCTGGAAAGCTTTCCTCTTCATTTAGTCAAAACCTTCACCAGGCTTAGCTCTAGCGTCCCAGGCCACATGATCTGCCTATTCAATATGAATTTCTGGGAAAGAGCCATCAAATGCAATGAAGTCAATTAGCTCTAACTGTGAACCAAAGCTCCCTATAGAGTGAACAGCCCAGCTGTGGCGCAACAGATTGTTACACATTTACAATTTCAGTTTCAACTCCACCACAAAAGCATTTAGGGACAAAATCAAAGAAAAAGGCAAGACAGAAGATTAGAATGGATTGTCTTCTGTTTCAAAACACCAAAACATCAGATAATCTGATCCACCGCCACTTCTCAAGAGGACACGGAGCAGTCGCCCTCTCATTGGAGTTTTAACAAGCAGGGATTATTCATGCCCTGTGATGATCTGCACAAAATGTTCTTGCAATTTTTTCTCCAGGCGAATCCCTGACATGCATATTTATACAAAACCACCATTTCACCATTTCCAATGTATCCCCACATGTCCTACTTTCCCCAACAGCTTCGTTGAGGAAATAAGGACACAGTCTGGGATCCCAAAAAATCTTTCCACCGCTCTCTCGGGGCACGTGCCCAACCCTAACCGTGAAACCGTGCTGTAAAGGCAAGGTAAAGAGAAAAGAGACGACAGGCAGAGGGAGGTGGACGTGGAGTTTTGTCCTTTGAGATTCTGCAGTGCATCGAGGCACTCATTCTGTTCCTCCATCAGGCTCCAGGGGTCCCCGCTGTCCCCATGAGAGGGTCGGCCCCGTCTGCGGGCTCCTGAGTGGGGGTGAGGTTGTTCGCCTCAGCCGTGATGACGATGGTGTTCTCGTCCACCAGCTCGCAGGTGGGATTGGCGAAGGCAGAGAGAGGAAGAGTGATGCGATGCATCTCACGCTCGTAAACCCGTTGCTCGTGCTGTTTCTTGAGGTCACGACCCCTACGGGATTAAAAACAAGCATTTTACTTTAACCATTGCCACACACAAATGTATATGCAATTTAGAGTTTATCCACTCGTCAACTGATCAAATAAGGTTACGTTCACACTCTGCCGGTGCGAGTCTCGAAATGTCCCGTTTACAGACAGCAATTTACTGTCTGTATGAACGTGCAAAGAGAGACTAGCCCGTATTGTCTTACTGGTAACCAGAGTGACCAAAGTGATATCAAAGATGCAACTGCAAACTCTTATCACAACAGAATCCAAATGAGCTGCAAGTTTATCCATCCAATCTTCATTAACTGACAGCAGCTTCTACGTAAACGTGCTAGTCGGACACCTTAAACAGTTGCACCCCTTTGCAGCGTACATGATTCGGCATTTGAGTCACGCATATGATATAACAAAAAACTGATGGAAACCAATCTGGTGGAAAACAGTGACTGGATCTAAAACCTTCAGATGACACAGCTCATATCTCCCTCGCTGGAAGTTACCAAACATGAAACCACACACGAAAACCCTCAGCAGAGTGGCTTTCTCCCACTGTATGACGTGACAGACAACTAGTTATTTCATTCAAAATTCATTTGCGAATTTTCCAAGAATGCGGTTTTGAGTCCTGAAAAAAGTAGTTTGGTTATCGAATGCGGTTGTGTGAACGAAACCAAAACGTAACTAAAAAACAGGACTGACAACCGTATAAAATGGGGTCTAAAAGTCAGAGACCACCAGCGAAAATTAATTCTTTAAAAATAAAAAATGTTATTTAAAACAACAAACAGCTTATTACTGCAAGTATTTTTGCCATTTGTGCAGTAATGCTCAAATGTTTATCCTGTGTAAACTGTTCTATTCGAATGAATCATTAAGAGCCTGTTTTTCTTTTTGACTAAATGACTGAATGACTTAGGCCCCGTCCACACTACTGCGTTTTGGCTTAAAAACGGAGAATTAAAACGAAAACGATCTCCGTCCACACTAGCGTTTTACCTGCGTATTAGAATTTATCTCCGTCCACACTAAAACGACTGAAAACGTGGATCACGTGACCATTCACCAACACAGGGCATGCGCGCGCCGGTGTAAACCGTGGTTGGCGAATCAGGGAAAGATACGTCATGACTGATGACACCCAATCATAGAGCCGAGCGTGAGCCTCTGCGTCATCGTTTGTAAACTCCTCCGTTTTGTCTCGTCCACACTAAAACGCCCTCCGGAGATTCAAAATCCAAAACGCAGCTGCAGCGTTTCTAAACTTCTCCGTTTTAGGTCTTAGTTTTTCCTGTTTTAGTGTGGACGGGAGGTGCAAACGTAGCAAAAGGTCTCCGTTTTTAAACGAAAACGCAGTAGTGTGGACGGGGCCTTATTCTGCAGTGGTTCCGCTTCATTTTCTCGGAATATTTTGAAGATTATTTCCAAAAAATTATACATTATAGTCTAAAATTAAATGAAGAGTTCAGATGCAAAAGCCTCTAAGTGCCATTTGAAATTTTCTTCTAAAATGATCATTTTTATCAAGCTTGTATATTTAAGTTCAGTAATTTCACTTGTCATTTAAGTGAAATTACTGAACTTAAATATACAAGCTTGATAAAAATGATCATTTTAGAAGAAAATTTCAAATGGCACTTAGAGGCTTTTGCATCTGAACTCTTCAAATTATATTAAACTATATAAATTATAGTCTAAAATTATACATTTCTGTAATATTTAACAGTGACGCACGCACTCCTGGACAGAAGGAGTGATTGGTCTCCAATATCGCCTATTTTTAGCGTCAAGTAATAAATGTGCAACTGTAGAGAGAGAGAGAGAGAGAGAGAGAGAGAGAGAGAGAGAGAGAGAGAGAGAGGTATAATTCCTCATTGGCTGACAAGCAAGAGACGGATCCCAATGATCACATTCCAATTCCTAGAAGAGGACGAGATCATGGGAGCTGAATGCTGGAGAAGCGTCATATCACTGGACACACTCCTGTCTATCCTTCCTTTCACTCCATCTCTCTCTGTGCACGGCAGGCCTGCGGCATGTTATGCAATCCTCCTACACTTCCCCAACACTGCATCTGAAATGAACTCTGCTTTATCACAACTGAACTGATTGCTACCATCTTCATCTTCTTAAAGGGATAGTTCCCCCAAAAATGAAAATTATGTCATCATTTACTGATTTTCCAAACCTGTATGAATTTCTTTCAGCTGCTAAATACAAAATAAGTTATTGTGAAGAATGTCAGTAAGTAACCAAACAGTTGATGGACCCAACTGACTTCCATTGTATTTTTTTCCCATCGACTGGTTCTTCAAAATATATTATTTTGTGTTCAGTAGAAGATAGAAATTAATACAGGTTGGAACACCTTGAGGGTGAGTAAATGATGACAGTTTTGAGATCCATGTGCTGTTACATCATAACATATTTCCTGTAGGTGACATTGTCCCTAAACCCTTATCTCATCTCAACAACCTGCCTCTGCTTATTAATACTGAGCCAATTAAGCTAGAAATATGATGACAAGCACACATAATCAGCTGACGCACGAGCACATGCTGCCTAAGGCTATTGGGTAATCCAAGCTCCTTACAAAACAGAGAGGAGAATATACTCAAGTTTTAGATCCTCAACACCCACTGCTAAATATCTAAACAACCCCCTAAATATAGACAGTCAAGATGCCTCCAATATCTACATGCACTCACTACTCATTATCTCTCTCTCATGTGTCTAATGGCATTAAAGGGATACCGACACTGATGTTAGAAGACCATGGTATGTGTGCCCATGGTATGTGTTTCCAGGTAATACCTTGCCTTTCTGACCCATGACATTTTATTCCCATGAAAGCATGTAACAAACCCAATGACATAATTTATCCATGGTATGTGTTTCCAAGTAATACCTTGCCTTTCTGACCCATGGCATTTTATTCCCATGAAAGCATGTAACAAACCCCATGACATAATTTATCTCTGTTCTACAGCCAGCACCTTTGAGCTAGATCAAAACCAACAAACATCTCAAAAACTGTCAAATCAAACTCTATCCCAAGCAACTATGCTCTCCAGCAAAGAGAAACTACAATTTAGAAACTACAAAAAAGGCACACACTCAAGTGCCTTGACACGTGCAGCATATGTAAGGGTTAATGCCCGACGAGGTGTCCATTGTCAGGTTTTAATGGACGACGGCGAGGCTTAAACCGGCCGACGCGCAGCGGAGGACGGTTGCCTCCGCCGAAGTCCATTAAAACCTGACAATGGACACCTCGGAGGGCATTAACCCGCTTATACCATGGTCACTTGCCAAATAAAACATTTTTAAAACATTAGTTTATATTTTAATTAGGCTAAATCTAGTTTTTACAAATAATAACTTGCCTTGCCTGACTGTTTATTTAGCAACCGGAGATATTTAGCCTATAGTCCGCTTAGCTCGTATCCCTTCAGGTTCACAAATGCATTTTTTTATTTATTACACATAAAACAATTAATCAAACAACAATAAAAAAACAATTAGCTCTGAGCTCCAGCGATTTGCGCTTAACGTTATAGAGGGCAATAAATTAATCAGATCAAAGAGAGGGTCATTTGCCTCAGGTTCCTTAGGCTTGAAACGCTGTAACGTTCAGCCTTCTCCTGCCTTGGTTGTCTGGACAGCTGCGTAAAACTCCCGCAGGGTCTCATTCAGGGGTGCGTTTCCCGAAAGCATCGTTATCCAACTATGGTTGCAAGTTACGTCGTTACCAATAGAGTTCAATGGAGCAGAGCAGCAGCGGTGTAATTTTCTCCGTTTTATTTACATTTTTTCTTTCTTCAGCAGCATACCAGTCGTCAAAGTTGCCATATTCTCCATAAATGTTAAAAGAAATAGCACGAAGTCGCTCATTGTTGTATTAGGCTATAATATCTAACGTTAGATGATAGAGCATGTGACTGCCTGTTGCTATGGTTACTCACAGCCGTTGTAGGCAGCGCATTTATTTATTCATTTCGAATGGTAAACAGGCAGTTTCACCAGAACTACTTTACTAGGTGTCCTCTATCACTTTTTAACGGACACCCTGCAGCCAATCAGAATCGAGTATTCACCCAGACCATGGTATAAGTTGATATAATGTCCACTGAAACAGGAAGACAGCACGGGACATATCGAACAGCACCTCCTTTTTTTAAAATAGCCAATAGCGGTTAGTTTATATCACAGCTCGGCCAGAGCGGTTTCTCTGCATCTCCTCCCTATCCCTATAGCTATCCTATATGCTAAAATATAGCATTCTGTGCAGAATTCAAAGGGGTTCAATACGTTTTCTGGTATATGCCGGCTCGTGCATATGATCCGCTCTGTGCTATAGTGTCTATGGACTGGAGCAGGCTGTGTGCGCACTGAGGCGGTTCATGCGATACTAACGTGAAACCAGACTTCATTCGCCCCAATGGAATGTATATTTACACTGTCTGAATCGTTCCCTCTCCCCTATAGTGCAGTATGTGCCACAGCTTTAGCGTCTATTTATAATGTAGGGGGAGGAATGCTTTAGATTCTAGAGAGCATTTGATTGGACGGAAAATATGCAGAGAAGCTGAAGTGAAGAGTGATGTCATCAAAATCATTGATCCATATTGGCAAAAGTGAGAGACTGTAGGTTTTGAATGCTTTGATTTTCTAAATGTAAATTTTGTCATTGTTTTTTAGAGCGCCCTATCTAATAGATAACAGTTAGGCGAACATATGAAGAGTTCAGATGCAAAAGCCTCTAAATGCCATTTGAAATTTTCTTCTTTAATGATGATTTTTATCAAGCTTGTATATTTAAGTTCAGTAATTTCACTTAAATAACAATTAATAGGTAATTATCATCGCCATTTAAGTGAAATCACTGAACTTAAATATACAAGCTTGATAAAAATGATCATTCTGGAAGAAAATTTCAAATGGCATTTAGAGGCTTTTGCATCTGAACTCTTCATATACTAAAAGCCAAAAAACATTTTGATTTCATGTGGACTTTTAGTGCACACTGTGTTTCAGGTTATACTGACCGTTTGTAGAAGTATCCCATCGTGATTCCACCTCCAAGTAGGATGATAATGGCCATCATGAAGACGGCGAGAACATAACCTGCCAAGGCAGGAAAGATAATCAATATTAGCATGAACATCTTGGTTTTCCGATTTAGTTTGAGGTATTAATCATCTAATCCTAAGACCTACCAAGAGTCCCGAGATCTTTTTTCTTCTTAGGTTCACTCCTGGCCAGCTGGCGCACTCCCTTCACGGGCTGCACCGCTGCACCCTCCACCTGTGAGGGGAAGGAGTTTACGGGTTCAAAGGTCTCCACCATCCTTGGGGTGAGTCCCTGAGTGGGGACAGACACTTCTGGAGGCGTAGATTCTGTGGAGTTTTGGTCTGTGGGGTGACAGAATGAACCAGACATGAGTGTTTTTCTGTTTCTTTCTCAATCTGCACTGCTAATGCAACTCAGCTTAGCACTCCCATCAATTAACAAGCCCAGTGGCATCAAACCATTGTACTAACAGTTTTACTGTGGTCTGGGATTGAGTGCTCTCAACGGACAATTGTGTCCTCTGTTTTTTTTTTTTTTTTTTACAAATATGTAGTGTTACAATGAAACATATGCAGTGAAAGATCTGTTCTTGCCTATAGACCATTTTGCAAGATGTAAACAACACTGGTCCAGAAACACTTCCTGTTTCAGTTTGTAACCGTTTTCTTTATTTCACATGTAAAGAAAAAATCTTAAAGATGTTTGTTTATCTTTTTGATTCAGTTTTAAATGTTCTGTTGGTTGTATTTTATCCCAGCTTTTATGTTGTGTTAAAAAACTGAAACAGAAAGTGCTTCTGGACCAGTTTTGTTTACATCTTGCAAAATGGTCTATTGCAGTGTACATCCGAAAGAAATGGATTATATAAAAAGGAAAAAAAAGCCCTTTCACACCAAAGACGATAACTATAAAGATAACGATAAAGATATAGTTTTTATCAACAATATAATGGAATGAACAATAACGATAAAAATCGTTCTCAGAATAGCAGAGTTCAAGAACTAATGATAACAGCACAGAGAAATGATATCGTTGGAATCAATATCAGAACTGTTTTTCCAGCTGATTAACGATAAAAAACATCGAGAGCCAATTAGAATTCCCCTGGTTGTACAGGTTGTGCGTGTTGTGGCTTCACAAATGCTCTATTGTAACAAATGGTTATTTCAGTCAAAGTTGCTCTTCCATCAGCTTGAATCAGTTCTTCTCTGACCTCTAGCAATCAACAAGGCATTTTCGCCCACAGGACTGCCGCATAAAATGATTGTCTAAAGGGGCAGGATGTAAACGGACTAAATGGAGTAAGCCACCAAAGTGAAGAGCAAAGTTTGATTTTGGAAATTATAAGGTCAAATTTTTCCTTTAAAATAAAATATACAAATGGAGGAATCATTCACAATAAGATCAATAACATGCATTTTTGAAAATAGGATGAAATTTCATTTCATGCCAGCTTTAAAACAACTAAAAAAACAAAAGATTTTGTCCCAAAAAATTGCTCTTCTGCAGTATGTAAACACAAACACTCATTATAATTGCTTATTATGTTAAGAGTTGAGTCAGAATGCAATTAACAGAACACAGATATAACACACCAGGCGAATACTAGGCCACTTTGCATTTTTTTCTTTTCTTTTTGAAGCATGTGTAATGAGATAAAGTTTGGCTATTTTTATTTAAATAGGACATCAGGTGGACGTGATGTATTCCGAAGGTCTCAAAGGAAGAACTCACGGGCCGGCTGAGAACATTATCATGTGCCCGAGTTGCTGTGGTCCAGCCCTCTGGATTTTTTCCACCACCCTCTACTCTAAAAAAGTTGTTTACACACTCCAACAGTTAAAGAACATGAGGTCACAGCTCAGCTAGCCAATCAGTATCTGTCGCCATGGTGAGCATGTTCCTCTGGGCCAATTGGAATCACAGAGGGCGAGGCCTAAAGTAGACCTTCAGCAGCAGAACAAGTTTTATTGTTTGTTACATTGCCTGTCCCAACTGAAGAAGCCTGAAGGCTGATGATGAGTCTAGACTCATGTTATTGTTTAACTTTTTCTGTCCTTGCAGCATGTTAAGTCAAAAGATAATTCTAGGAAACTGCATCAGTGTGGATTAAAACTGACCAGCTGGCCTAGTGGTCTCAATAAGATATTTTCTTTAAAGGAGGAAACAACACACTGCCATATTGTTGTTTTTGTTTGTTAATGAACCAAATAAAAGACATCTGGCCTGGCTTATCGAAAAATGATTCATAGCAAAATAAAAGTAACTTCAGCTGTAGTGTTGTTTTTCCCGGAAAAAGTAAGATTGCACATTTTTGCACTACGTAAATATTTTTAAATCAGTTTCCTCTAGATTCTAGGAAGAAAGTAAGACTAGAAGTTTGAGATTGTGGAAACAGAGTTAGTAAGACCCAGTTGTGAAATGCCAGAGAAAGAGACTCTGGCAAGTGATATAAATCATAATCTAATTTTGTGCAGCAGTTTTTTTTTTGTTTTTTTTTTTTTTCAAATACACCAAGTTATTTGTGAGCTTATTTTCAAGAAAAAGGTTTAATTTAAATGTCAAGAATTGAAACTAAATTTTTATGAATTTATAAGTGCTGCTATGATTTAGAGAGAGAGAGAGTATGTGAGAAATGATTTTTTAGAGAGAAGATGGCTACCTTGGCATATCTTAATATCACATGCTTCTTTTCTGGTTTCTCCACTGGACCCAGAGACGTAGCACCAAGGCTTCTCTGAACCATCTGGGTTACGACAGAAATTGTGATTCCCAACATCTTCTGAAAAGAAGAAAACAACAATTAAAACCTTTTATATGAGTTTAATACTAAACTTTATTTTTCTCTCAAAACATTTCTATGTTTGTGTGAGTATGTGTTTTTGAGTTGTAGTGAGTGTGTCCCAGACTTGCCCTCTTCTGGGTATAAGGCAATTGTGATTGCACAGCTTTTTTGAGTTAGGGCTCATAATATCATCTGGGCAGCATGCCCTCTTCATAAATAACCATAATTTACAAAATGTATAATCAGCAACATTGACAGTTTGCATTTGTCTGATTGTAAATGCATTAATGTACATTTCTTACATAGCTTGATTTCCTCAAATATAATGTTTTGGGGTATTGTACAGTAAAAATGCACAAATAGATGAAGAAACGTAAAAACAGTTACCCGTCTGTGAGTCTGTGAACTTCAGGTTTAGACTCCTCCAGTTGAGACATATATTCCCCGAGGATGTCTTCTGTTGCATTCCCCTGTACTTCTCGCCATTAAATATACAATCTGTGGGGAAAATAAATTAAATTCATGCGATTTGGATGATTGGTTTTAAATCAGTTCAAATTAGAATAAATTTGATTGATAATTTTTCATGTTTAAATTACAGCAAATTCATCATTTAATATACTAAACAATCATACTTTTACAATAAAAAAAAACAATGCATTATGATTAACTTAGATGGACTGATAACGTGTAAAAATGCAAAATGGTGAGGAAAATGAATATACCCTCAAGCATAATTTGCTTTTTTTAAATTACTTCAAATAAGCTTTAGTTATTTTATTTTTTAGAAAGCTATTGCAAGCTAATTGAAATCTTACCTTCAACAACAGACAAGCAGCTCACCAAACCATAGTTCAGCAGTAGCACAAAGTAAAGCAGTCGAAACATTTTTTCTATTCGTCGATGTTATTAACAACAAGAACACTTTTTATTCTCGACGAGTCGGCACAAAACCGCTCCGTTTTAATCGAAGAGCCTGTGGTGAATAGAGCCACACTGCTCTCCAAACAAACACACTGCAGTCGTGCTGTTGTTTTGGGCTCTGAACTGGTAAACAGCCTGAATGGACTGAACGCTGAAACTCCCTTTGCAGTGTGTCCGCCTCCTCCGGGTCCTAGAAACAGCAGCTTATATGATACATGGATCAGAATCTTCCAGCAGACAATCGATCGTGTTTGTGTATTTTATAAAACCAAACGCATGTTTTACTAATGGTTATTAAAAATATATATTTCTATTAATTTATCATTAATTATTTACACGTACACACACACAGCGGCTCAGTAGCAGCAGCACTTTTTGTGTGGAGTTTGCATGTTCTCCCTGTGTCTGCGTGGGTTTACTCCGGTTTCCCCCACAATCCAAAAACATGTCAGTAGGTGTGGATCCATGCGTGTTGTGAGTCAGAACTAAAGCCATGGGAGGGTTGGTTTGGGAAAGATAAAGCCACACACTTGTTTATGAATTATGAAGACTTTTATAGGCTATAATACATAAAATAATTTAATAATAAATAATATATAATAATTGAATTATAATTTCAAATGATATCACATACACATATTCAAATTATATTTTAATACAATATTTTCTTACAAATTTGTTTTTTTTATAATGTATCAAAATCTAGTATTTCTATTATTGTATACTGTATAATAAATTATAATACATTTACTACTATTATGATAAGTAATATTTTTTTGTAAGTAATTATATACATTTTAGTACAGTGAATTCATTGTCACGTTCAAGAAACCAATTTGAAATGATTCGAGCTTTGTGACATGGTGCATTATCCTGCTGGAAATAGCCATCAGAGGATATATGGACATAGTCAGAAACAATGCTCAGGTAGGCCGTGTCATTTAAACGATGCCCAATTGGCACTAAGGGGCCTAAAGTGTGCCAAGAAAACATGTCCAACACCATTACACCACCACCTCCAGCCTGCACAGTGGTAACAAGGCATGATGGATCCATGTTCTCATTGTGTTTACGGCAAATTCTGAATCTACCATCTGAATGTAACAACAGAAATCGAGATTTATCAGACCAGGCAGCATTTTTACAAACATTTTTGGTGAGCTCTTTCAAATTGTAGCCTCTTTTTCCTATTTGTAGTGGAGGTGAGTGGTACCCAGTGGGATCTTCTGCTGTTGTAGCCCATCTGGCTCAAGGTTGTGCGTGTTGTGGCTTCACAAATGCTTTGCTGCATACCTCGGTTGTAACGAGTGGTTATTTCAGTCAAAGTTGCTCTTCTATCAGCTTGAACCAGTCGACCCATTCTCCTCTGACCTCTAGCATCAACAAGGCGTTTTCGCCCACAGGACTGCCCCATTCTGGATTTTTTTCCCCTTTTCACACCATTCTTTGTAAACCCTAGAAATGGTTGTGCGTGAAAAACCCAGTAACTGAGCAGATTGTGAAATATTCAGACGTCTGGCACCAACAACCATGCCACGCTCAAAATTGCTTAAATAGCCTTTCTTTCCCATTCTGACATTCAGTTTGGAGTTCAGGAGATTGTCTTGACCAGGACCACACGCCTAAATGCGTTGAAGCAACTGCCATGTGATTGGTTGATTAGATAGTTGCATTAATTATCAGGAATTGAACAGGTGCTCCTAATAATCGTTTAGGTGAGTGAGACCATCTATGAATATTATAATGTTGTATGTTTTTAATAATTACACAACCAGACTTCTTTCAGACATTTCCTTTGCGTGTCAAATTACAATTTGAAAAAGTCATATATAATATTATTAGCATCTTTTTTTTTTTTTTTTTTACGAAAGCTGTGCCAGAATGAGCTTTCACTCAACATGGTTTTGCAAAGAATTATAGGCCAAAACCTGCATAAAAATTCATCATTACAGCACCATCAATTCTTTCACATCATCCATCCTTGTTAAATAAATCTGAGAACAGAACTTCAGAGATCAGAGATCAGGGACCATTAATGAGCGAAGCGCCCCTATTACAAGAAAACAGAGGGTCCCCCGAGGAGACACTATTAAAAGGATGACAACCGTGTTGATCAGGTATGACACAATCGGTGTAAGCTATGCAGCTGACCTCTCAGAATAGATGAAAGACACGCATATACACACCTGTTTAGTTCATAGTCATGCTCTTTTTGTTACATTCTGGACAACTCTGGCCTTTTCCATTGTTTTAAGTGCATTCCCTTTAACTATAATAAATTCAGCTGTCTGTTTTCAATAGTTCTGCACAGTAGTCTTTAAACACTTTTCTGGGCTGGCAAGTTTCAATCCCTTAGAAGCCTATGGAGGAGTGATCCAACTCTCAGATTTAATCAAAAATATCTTAATTTGTGTTTCGAAGATGAAGGAAAGTCTTACAGGGTTGGAACAACATGAGGGTGAGTAATTACTGAATTTTTTATTTTTGGGTGAACTACCCCTTTAAACTCTAAGTACATCTTGTCTTCTTGTATCAGACCAGAATTTATGAAACCTTGGAAATTATGTCAAGGTTTTCATGGCATTTTGAAGCATTGAAGCACACAATCAGATTTAATTAGACCAGAGTTTACTTCCTTTCCATGGTACCGGTTAACTGACCCACTTTTATTTTCCAAAGTAATTACACAAAGTTTCCAAAGTAAAATTGGAGCCAGGTTGGCAGCTTTTGGGGGGAGTTGTGCACCCTAACAGAAGAGTGTGAGAGAGATTCAATAACTACAGTGTTTCTGTTTTAAAGTTTGTTGATTATGTCTTTGTCATTTTTGACGCCCAGCCATCACTCATGTTTAAACTGGGAAATCAACCTGTTATGAACTCCTGTTTGACTGGTTTTCTTTAAAAAAAAGGAAAAAAAAAAGAAAGTGAACACATTTTGAAAGCTTTCAGAATACAGCACACACGCATAGTCATAAAGAGTACAGTGAATAAACATGATCATAAACATCATCCTGCTTAGAACTAGGGACAAACATGATTCATAATTCATGAGCATTATTCATGTTCTGTCCAAAGCTTCATGAACATCAAATTGCAATGATTAAAATAAATGACTAAACCAGCATCATTTCTTTGTTCAATGCTGCTGCTCCATGTAAGGTTAAACAGGAAGCGAAACGTGGGTTTGTTTGGCAAAGAAGGCAGATAATGAGTGGAAAAAGCCCAGACAAACAGATTCCTCTAGCTGTTGAGTCCTGTGAAAAGACTTCCATATAATTCATTCGCACATAGAGACATCCCACATTAAACAACCCTATTATAAAATATACGAAATTGATAAGAAAACAGAAATGATGAGCTCTTGTTTTTTTTTTTAAATGGCTAAAGTGGAGAAAAAAACATATCCTACAAAACTTAAGTGCTAAAATGTTTTTCAAAAATTATACTATAGATAGTAGAATTTTTGAAAAACATTTTAGTACTTAAGTCTGGACCAGTGTTGTTTACATCTTGCATTTTGCAAGATGTAAACAACACTGGTCCAGAAACACTTCCTGTTTCAGTTTGTACCTGTTTTCTTTATTTCACATGTAAAGAAACAATCTTAAAGATGTTTGTTTAACTTTTTGATTCAGTTTTATATGTTCTGTTGGTTGTATTTTTATCCCAGCTTTTATGTAGTGTTAAAAAACGGAAACAGGAAGTGCTTCTGGACCAGTGTTTACATCTTGCAAAATGGTCTATAAAATGGATATTTTCCATTCCGTTTATATTATAAAATGGATATTTTCTTAAATTACAAAACAAAGGCTTTAACACAAACATTTTAAAATGGCCCCTCCAAGAAATCCACCTGATTTTCCTCTAGACTCTAAAATAATCAATACTGTACGTCATTTACAATACAATAAAAGCAATCATATAAGAGAGTGAATCTCTTCAGTGTTCGCTGTAAAATCAGACCATCTGTTCCCCTGATGGCTACTGGGATACCCAGCTGCGTCCTAACACTGTCCTGTGACACGCAGGCGTGTTGCACAGCAACTGAGTACATATTCCAGACATGAATCGTCAACTAGCCGTATGCTGAGGGCAGAAAATGGACACTTAACCTGGGAGACGAGCCTCTAATGTGGCATAAAGCAGGCACTATTCCCCAGCTAATATGGTAGGGCAACTCTACTGTTGCCGCAAAAGCCATTACATCACTGTTTGATGCATTTACCCCTGCAGTGGAAACCTGAGTAGAAGTGGCTTACGCAAAGAGAAGATGAAGATGAGAAAGGGGGTACAGACTGAGAAAGAAAGATGTCAAACAAAACCAAAACAGTGAACTATTAAATATGTATTGGACATAAAAGAAAGGATAAGGCACCGCAGGAAAAAAAGTGAATAGTGAACACTGTCAGTCTAAATCCAATTATTTGCGCATTTGATTGGAATCTGATCTAAATGATTGACTCTCCAGATGAGATTTATGTCTCCCATGGCACTCTTTTGTTTTTCAGAATAACTGTATTGGTTTCTATGGCAAGGGTGTTATGTTGGTAGGTACACACCTCCCAAAAAAAAAAAAACTAAAAAAAAAAAAAAACCAAAAAACCAACAGTAACATGGGGGGGTTTGAAAAATGTGTTGTCTTATTGACTGGACTACGTCTTCTGAGACAGCAACAGAATTTAAAATTCTTTCAAATAAATAAATAGCATTTCATGGGATTTTTTTTCAGTCTGACTGCTATGATTGGATTTAGTTTGGTTTATGTGACTTTCTCACGCCACGTTAAATGTAAACATGTCAAATTATGTTATCTCGGCTGTCGCACAACTTTGAGCGAAATTCTATGACGTCAAGGCAAGGCAATGATTGAATCATTTTGTGTTATCACTGTAAAACTGCTTTGAAACAATCCATATTGTATAAAGCACTATATAAATAAAGGTGACTTAACTAAAAATAATTCAATCTTTATTTATTCAATATATAAAACACATCAATATACAAGCATAAATCATACAGTACATGATCAAGAATGCCTACATGTATATATACCATCAGGGTGTTGCAGTCAAACCCATACACATGAACATGCATCCACATTCACAGAGACAAACACATGCTCGCTGATTCTTTGTGGCGCTGCTCTCTGTCCCCACTAGCAGTGTGCTCTACTTCAGAAATCACCA